CAAAAAAGAGGGGGAAAACAAGGAAAAGCAATTTAAGAACATTCATAATATTACTTAGGAGGTAAGTATACACAGTACAATTGCTGTAGAAATCTATATAGTAATCATCCCTACTGCATCATTAATTTTGATTATACTTCTTGCTTTTGTAGTGGCATAATATCTGTTTGTTGTTACTGTAAGTGGTTCTTTTTCTAGATTTCCATTATTCCAGATTTCTCCTATTTTATGGTGGCTCAAATGGAAGAAACCACCTCCACACACACTGAAAAATGAGCAGTAGCTAAATTTTCTTAGAAGATCTTTTACTCAAGGTTGTTTTGACTTTCTGTGAACTTCAATTGGAGCTTGTTTATCAAGGTGATGGAGTGACAAACACAGATACTGGCACTGTACTCTATAAAGTAACTGAAATGTAAACAATTGGTTAATTATGCAGTTGGTTAATTGGTTACTCCATTTTTACTGATAAGTAGAAATCTTTGAATAATGTACTTTTCTTGATTATTAGGTAGGTTTAATTGACATACTAGTACATAATGATGTTTTCATTATAGATTGACATGTATTATCTAAAATTATCTAAGTATTATCTAAAATATAGCTGCTGAGTTGATGAGAAATATAAATTTTACTTTCCAAAATCTCTCAGGCTATCATTCAAGAGATTATTCTTATTTTTTAACACAGTCCAATGGGAGTATGTTTCATATTACTTGGCCTAATAAGAGATTATAAACAGCCAGATAGTTAGGTGAGGCTTGCTTCTTATAAATAAGTGAATCAATAGGGCAATAACTGTTAGACCTGGCATAAACACTTCAAAGTAGCTCCGCATTATAACACATACTCATTCCTTTTTATGGCTGGATAACATTCTCTTATATGGGTATACCACACTTTGTTTATTCAGTCTTATGTGGGTACACAATTGTGTTGCATCCACTTTTTGATTATTGTAAATAGTACTGCAGTGAATATTTGCATGCATGGATTTGTTCAGTCTGTTTTGTTAACTATTTTGTTTTTATTTTACTTTTCATTTTATTTTTATTTTAGGTATTAGGGTTTGAAATCAGGGTCTTGTACTCAACAAGGCAAGTACTGTACCACTTGAGCCATTCCGTGAGCCCCGCTTTTAATTCTTTAAGGCTGGATCATATATCAAGTGCAGGAAACTTTTTAAAGAACCACCACACTGTTCTCCATAGTGGCTAACCATTTTAATTTCCACATCAATTTGTTCTAGGACTCATCATTTACTGTCTCTGACAGCACTTCTTATTTTTCCTTTTAAAAATTTACATCCATTCTAGTGGGTTTGATAATATACTTAAAAAGTAGTAACTCTTAATTTTCCCCAGGAAAAGTATTAGAAACTGAAGCCTCCCCCCCTCTTTTTTTTTTTAATAGTTTTTCAAGGTATCTCCTTGTATATGATCAAAATATCTTACTATAATGAGACAAAAAGTGGTTCATAATAAAGTGTGTTTACATCTGAGCTTTTAGATGATTCACTTCCCTCACTTGGTGGCCCCAAGAGCCCCTCCTGCATTTATAAGCTTATTTTCTCCCTTATACACACTAAATCTCACAAAGCCCATTATGTCTTTCTTGGAGCAATTACCAGACTCTGTTTTGTTTGAGGACAATGACAGTACCACTTTGCTTTGTTGGTAATCTTTTTTGTAGTACTTGTCCTTCATGTTATTTATTTTCCCTAGCACTTCATAACTTAACTGTAACCTCTTTGTGGTTAAGAAACTAAGAACTATCTCCAGATCTAAAATTGTTAGGATTCTTGGGTTTTATCTTTTAACTTGAGCATAGTGTCTTCTATTTTCAGTAGAAATGTTTTGACATTTCCTTTCCCTTCCCAATCTATCTAGCTAATTCTATCTTATAGTCTTAAGGTTCAACTGAAATGTCGCCTCTAGGAAGTTTCCCTAAAAGAATCTTTTCCCTCTCCTCTTAAAGTTCTCTTTAAATGTTTTGGAAATACTTTATGTGTATCTGGTGTATTTTCTACAATGTGTGTATGTTTCTTTATGAAATTCAAACTAAAACCACAAACTGTACCCTGAGCAAACTCTCTATACCTTCTTTCTTCTCCCATAGTATTCTTTTTTTCCCCTCCAAAGCTGAGGACCAAACTCAGGGCCTTGTGCTCACCAGGCAGGCGCTCTTACACTGAGCTAAACCCCCAGCTCCTCGTATTCATTTTTAATATCTAAAGCTTTATTTTTCCTAGCACTATGATTTTTGTTTTTCTCTTCACAACTGGATGCTCAAACAGTATTTGTTTAATGGATGTATAGATTTGAAACTACTTAAGAGTAAGATCTTACTGCATTCTCTTTTATAAGCTCAGAGTATAGAATTTCAGAAATATAAAGACTCACTAAATATTTATTGAATAAATCATTTTTTCTATGTTCTATTCTTATTTGTTGCTGCTTTTTATGCCTAATAATTATATAATAATGGGAATCATTTCAGCAGCTAAGAAATGGCAGCCTCCCCAATGAGAAAGATTTGTATTTTTTATTATTTGAACTTTTTAAAGTTTACTTCTACAGAAGGGTGCATCATTAGCCAGAAAGACTTCAAGATGGCAAGATACCATAATATTTTAAAAAATTAAAATAATTACAAATACCATAAATAATTAGTACAACTATCATATCTTTATACCATTTCCTGAAGGGGCAGACCCACAGGTACTTAATAGTTTTGAGTGCTGATACTATTAACAGTAGTCTATAGTAGACTATTCTCTAGTAAATAACATGATTTAATGCTTTATGACTTCAAAGAGCTTGTTGTTTTTACAGGAAGTGGAAAGTAAGATCAGCGTGTAGAATTATGGTGGACTCAGAAAATTGTGGTACTAGAAAATTTCCTGTAGAGTATTAATCTCCAAGTGTTTTTCTCCATTTTTCTGGAGAAAATGGATCTCATCTTTCAGCCTTGTTGATGTTTTTACTATATCTTGAGCATAGTTCTGTAATGGTACATAATAGTTTTCTTCCTAGTTTTGTTGAGTTATGATTGACAATGTAATAAGGGCACAATCTTCTCCGTCTCTGCCGTTCTTTCTCTGCTTATGTCTGTCTCCTCTCACTCTTCGGTTTCTGTCTCTGTCTCTGTCTCTGACTCTCTGTCTCTCTGTCTCTCTCTCTCTCTCTCTTCCCCTCTCCTTCTCCCTCTCTTTCTCTCTCCCTCTTTCTTTCTCCCTCTCTCTCTCTCAGATCCAACCAGTAGTCTTGTGTATACAAGCACTCTATTATCACCGAGTTACACATTTATCCAGCCTTCGAAACATTTGCTTTGTAGACTTGGTCTAACCTCTAATTCAATCTTTCTTCCTCTATGTGTGAAGTATTAGGATTACAGGTTTCCACCAGCACGTGTGTACTCTTTATTTTCATTACCTATGTATGTCTAAGTTGTTGTTTAATTCTTGTTTGTAAGAAACTTTAAGAAAAAACAAGAGTGATGGTATCTTCGAATTTTTAAACAAGTCGTGTGTACTATGTGAAAAAAATTAACTATGTGACTTGTGGGCAGTTACAGGAGGGAGAAACTGGGGGAAAACAAAGAAAGGAGTGACCTTGTCCAAGAAGAAATGTACTTATTACCTGACTTACAAAATGCTGACACCTTAAAAACAATAAAATTTTATTAATAAAAATGTGTGTATGTTATTTTTATACTTATGTCAAGGAAACCTTAAATAGCCCTTGGATTCATTCAGTATACCTACCTAAAATTAGGACAGTTAAACCAAGCATGTTGGCTCAAATCTACAAATCCCAGCTACTCAGAAAATAGAGATGGGTGGAACCAAAGTTTGAGGACAGCCTGGGCAAAGAGAACAAAATAGGATACCTGTCATCCCAGCTTTGCAGAAAACAGAATGATTTTCATCTAAAGACTGACTCTGGCAAAAACATAAGGCCCAGTCTGAAAAATAACTAATGCAATACATAGCTTAGTACATAGCCCTGGCTCTGAAATTAAATCTCATCACCACTCAAAGAAAAAAAGAAATTAGCACTCCTAGAAATCATGCTTTTAAGATTCTAGCTTGTATTCTCCTAGCTGGTCTTCTCTGGGTCTGTGTGCATACAGGTATGAGGATGGAACTGTGGGATGTACCAAGTGGTAGGAATTGGAAATTTAGAACCATATCTGTTTGTTGTTATTATTTTTGCCGGTTCCTGTGCTCTGTTATGTTTTACTTAGTACAAAGTATTATGGATATTTTTCTAAATATCTGAATGTATCAATTTGAAGACAATATATTATGCCCCCTAGAAAATATTTCTGGATGATAGGACGCTATCTTTACATAAAATCACATCATGGTATATATGGTTTAAAAGCCTTGGTGTGGCATTTCAAAAAACTATAGCAGAGCTCTTGCTAGTACAACATATGTAATAATCTGTACTTTGAGCTGAAGAAATCAATCCAACATATTTGTTTTCTTCATGCTTATAAAAGATTACTTTCACCAACATACTGACACTCATTAAAGTGTTTACATCATTAGTAAGTCCTTACAAAAACAACCATGAATTTCCTCTCTGTAATCAAAATATCAAATAAAATGAAAAGAGAGCCTAACCTGTCTACCATTGTTTACAAGCGTGAGATTGATGTCTTCCTTTAAGCCATTGTTAAGTTTCATGCTAGTTCCAACCCCAATTGCTCTAAATGAGATTGCTAACACTCTCACGATTATTTTATTGTTTGCATTTTTATGTCTGTTTTTTATACTTTATTGCTGTTACCATATTTGTCCTATAATCTTGCCTTTTGAAGAGAAACCATTTTACCATGTTTTCTTTATTTTGAATCCCTTCTCTTTAGAGGTATTTAGAAAAGTACTTATCCAATAAATTGTTAAGGAATGTTGGTAACCAAAGCCTAGGACTTTGTTTCATTTGAGTATATTTCCCTTAATAGTTACAATCATTTCACTTGCTTTTTAGGCACACAAACAAATGGTCTGGACTTTCAGAAGCAGCCTGTGCCAGTTGGAGGAGCAATCTCAACAGCCCAGGCTCAGGCTTTCCTTGGACATCTCCATCAGGTAGAATATACTGCTCAACCATAAATGAGAGTAAAAGAGACATAAAATGCTATGACCTAGGCAAGTTATTAACAATTTAAACCTAGTGTTTATCATATTTAATTATATATGTGTAGTGCAGAATCATTATAGCTAGCTACCTAGCTTTTGACCTAAAGAATGTCTTATTGAATGGAATGTATATAACTGAGTCATTATTCTTAATGAGTGTGAATCTGTGGCAACTAGCTGAAGTGTAGTAATTAGAGTCATCCAAAATGCTATAGCTGAAAGGGTATGGTGTAAGTGATATAATAATACCCCTGCCTAGCAAGCATGAGGCCCCTAACTTCAATCCCTAGTTGCCAAAAGTTTAAAAAGTGATATAGGTACTATTGTCTGAGACCTGCTATGTAAGGCTCTGAGCTCAAAACTAATACCCCTCCTTTAAAATGGCTCCAGACCAATGTAGTTTGAGAAAACTACTTGCAGCCATCAGTTGATTGACTGTGAACCCTCTAATTTGAGATTTAAAAACACCTCAATTTTACTATCCTTCTACCACCTGATTTTTTTTTTTTCTGAGTCCAAAACAGACCATAGATTTTCTTCATCTATGTTTTAGCTATAGCTAAATAATATGGAGGGTGAGAGAACATAAAAAACATGTACTGGCCACACAAAAGTTTTGGGATATGAGAGTTGATTGAAAATGGAAAGCAAACAGTAACAACATGGTAGACAGATTATCAGAATATCTTAACACTCTGATGTATGTATTATGGAAATACTTTACACATATTTTTTTGCATATATTTATATTGTAAAAATACTGTACAGAGCAGTTACAGTTACATGAGCAAGGTAATGAGTACATTTCCTATCGAGCATTGTTACCTCCTCCTTTGTTTTTCCCCTACCATCCCTTTCCTCCCCACCTTCCCAGCTCCTCCCTCCCCCATCCCCGACCCAAGTTGTTGTAAAGTTCATTTTCAGCAAAGTATCTTGTATATCTCATTGTTGCAGTGGGTCAACCTCTATCCTTATTTCAGCATTTTGTTACTTCCCTTCCCCTCCCCAAATTAGAAAAATGTATGAACAAGATGCAGGGCACCGGAATCAAATACAGTGAAAACAGGGGTTATACCATGGGGGAAGAACATACAAAAGAAACAAAAAATCACATGGTACATTATAAGTACATTAAAAACAACAGCAAGAAAGATAAAACCACTGTCTTGGAGTTCATTTTGCTTAGCATCATCTTATATGGTAATATATACATAGCTTTTGACCTTTTCTGCTTGTCCTAGACATATACTAGTTATTGCAAATAAGGGAAACCATGGGACCTATGTTTCTTACTTCACTTAATATAATTTCTTCCAAGTCTTTCCATTTTCTAACAAATGGGGCGGTTTCATTCTTTCTGATGCAGGTATAAAATTTCATATATATGTATATGTATGTGTATATATATATATATATATATATATATATATATATATATATATATATCACATTTTCTTGATCCATTCATCTACTGAGGGGCATCTGGGTTGGTTCCATATCTTAGCTATGGTGAATAATGCTGCAATAAACATAGTTGTACTGGTAACTTTAGTATAGCCTTGTTTGTTTACACTTATTTTTAGTGGTCTTTGTGGAACTTAAAACTTAGAACTAAGTGTTGGGAAGGTGGCTCAGAGGTAGAGTACTTGCCTCACATGCATGAGGCCCTGGGTTCGATTCCTCAGCACCACATAAGCAGAAAAAGCTGGAAGTGGCGCTATGACTCAAAGTGGTAGAGCTCTAGCCTTGAGCTGAAGAGCTAAGGGACAGCACCAGGCCCAGAGTTCAGGCTGCATGACCGACCAAAAACAAAACAAAACAAAAAACAGAACTAATTTAATGCTCAAAATATATTGTCTAGCAACATTCAGTAGTGATTCAGTGAAAAACCCATATGGACACATAACCTCTCAAATTATGAATTAACTGTTACTGCCAATGAATTCATTATCCTACTCTCTTACCAAAATACGTCATCAGACTACCTAAATGATAAGCTTTTCTTTTTGAAAACATTCGGAATTCTAGAAAGCTGTCCTAAAGCCAGGTTATTTATGTACAGAGTCAAAGAAATACTATATAGGTAGCAATCAGTGCCTTCTGTTAGAATTAATCCATGTTTGGATGCTTGCTCAGATACAGTTTTGTTTATGCAATAGTCTTCATTTATCTGCCATTTTGATTTCCATAATTTTACTTGCCAGTGGTTAATTGTGGTCCGAAAATATTAAATAGAAAATTCCAATGAACTTTACAACTTTGGTGGGGGGCAGGGGTGGAGGATTGGGGGGGGGGGAGAATAGGAAGGGACGGGAAGGGGAAACAAAGGAGGAGGCTACAATGCTTGATAAGAAATGCACTCATTATCTTGCCCATGTAATTGTAACCCCTCTGTACAGTATTTTCACAATAAAAAGAAAAGAAAGAAAAAAAATTCCAGGAATACTCCATAAATTTTTAATAACTTTTATTATAGTATATTGTTGTAATTATCCAGTTTTATTATCATCAATTTCTTATTGTGCTCATTTTTAAATTAGGAAAAATTGTGTGTATGTGTCTTTTATTTAGTGCTGTCTGGTTTCAGGCAACTGGGGGCTCTTGGAATGTATTACATGTGGATAAGTGGGACTACTGTATCTTTGAAATGGGGGAAGTTCAGTATACAACTCCTGGATAAAATATCAAGTTTAATATTTGAAATGAATTTAAGAATGTAGTTATAATGTAGGGAAAATGCTTTTGTGCTTATTTTCTTCTAAGAATATACTCAAATATCTAACACATATCTCATTGTTTTTTTATAGACTTCAATTATGTGACACATAATAAGCATCTTTAATTGGTTTAAATTTGTAATGGTTTTTATTAGTCACTTTCCATCACTGTGACAGCATATCTACAAAATCAACTAAACTTGATTTTGGCTCACAGTTTCAGCACTTTATGTCTGTTGTCATATGGCCCCATTGCTTTGGGCCTGTGGAGAGGCAAAGCAGTATGTAAAACAAAGCTGTTACTTATCTCCTTGTGATTAGTTATTTGGGAAGTGATTCTTTAAGACTGTATAGCCTGTTTCACAACAAATTTTTACCAGAAACAACATGACATACTTTATTATTTATTTGTTTGTTTGTTTGTTTATTGTTGGTCGTGGGGCTTGAACTCTGGGCCTGGGCACTGTCCCTGTGCTCTTCAGCTCAAGGCCAGTGCTCTACCGCCTGAGCCAAAGCGCCACTTTTGGTTTTCTAGTGGTTTATTGGAGATAAGAGTCTCGTGGGAGTGTCCTGCCTGGGCTGGCTTTGAATAGTGATACTCAAATCTCAGCCTCCTGAGTAGCTAGGATTATAGGCATGAGCCACCAGTGCCCAGCAACATACTCAATTTTAAAACCTTTACTCTTTTTTTCTTTTTTGGTTGTATGGGTCTGTGCACTGTCCCTCAGCTCTTCAGCTTAAGGCTAGCGCTTTACCATTCAAGCCACAATGCCCACTTCCAGCTTTTTCTGTTTATGTGGTTCTGAGAAATCAAACCCAGGGCTTCACTGAGCCACTTTCCGAGCTCCTAAAACTTTCACTCTTTTAAATCTATGTTCCTGAAACTCTGTCTGGCTCCTTAGTTTACTTCTTCTAAGCCGTTAGGTCTAAAACATATTATCTCTTCAGACAGGCAGTTCCTAATTATACTGTATCTAAAATACTATACATAAATTTGGGGGGAAGCATTTTTTTTGCTTAATTTTCAGAGGATTCTTATCTACTAATATGATGACTATTCATTTTAAATAAAGAACATAGTTTTAGAGTTTAGCTCTTTACTGAGCTCTATACAAATATTTATATTTTACCTCAGGACATCTTAAGGCTATAGGACATATCCAAAGTAGGATTTATTTTCTTCCCTGTTAGCCCTACCATTTTCCAATCCCCCAGATTTGAACCCTGGGATAATTCATAACACTCTTCTTCATCAATATCCAGACAGTTGCCAGGGTCCTTATAGCACTACTTTTCATGTTCCTACTTTATTCCCACTGCTATCATTGCTATGTTAGGCATCCATTTATTACAACCTAGTTTATATTCTTCCTTTCTCGTTCTTAGTTCTCAGGACATCCATTGATACAAACCAGTGAGTCTGTAGTGTTCCTCAATTTGAATTTGCTGTTTCATCATTATTCACTTTTAGTAGGAATAAAACCTGTATTCTTTACAGTACATCCTCAGAGAGGTTCGTGACTAACTAAAGGTGATTCTAACTGTACTCTTAACTTGTCAACCATATATTCCCCTCTATTTTACTATTTTACTCTTTATTATTAGTACTTGTGGAGAAACAAACAAGAATTTCGTTTGTTTGTTGTTTTTGTTTTCTTTTTGTCTTCATTTATCTGCCTTTGGGAGGGTGAGGTGTAGCACAGAAATAGAGCAACAAATGCAGCAGTGATATTCGCTAGATACTATGTTGAAAATGAACCTTACAATTGGTGGGTGGGGATGACACAGAAAAACTGGGACAAAGCAAATGAAGGGGTGGCATTGTCCAAAAAGATATATACTCATTACCTGTCTTAAGTAACTGTAAGCCCTGTATACATCACATTTATAATAACAATAAAAACAGACAAAAACAATACATTGATATTCTACAAGTTTTCTGATTAGATAATCCATTATTGTGGTTGCCAATTTTCTAATGTGGTTTTCTAATAACTGTCCTTACTTTAAATAACCATGATTTGAAGATTAAATATCGTAACTTTTATATATGTTTTATAGAAGAGATTATTTTAGCTATTAGTTTAAAGTGATTACTGTTTTGGGTTTTTTTCTGTTTTGTTTTATGTGCTAATATAGGGGCTTGAACTCAGGGTCTCATACTGTCACTTTTTTTTTTCCTTCTCACAGCCAGCAGCCATCACTCTACCACATGAGCCATACCTCCAGTCCTGCTTTTTGCTGGTTAATTGGATATGGTGTCTTGAAGTCCTTTCTGCCTGCCTGGCTTCAAGACACAATCCTTCAGGTCTTAGCCTCTTGAGTAGCTAGGATTACAGTGCCTGGCTAAGACTATTACTGTTTTCAGGATGTCCCTCTTAGGTTTAAATATATAGGATATTTATTGTGGTGCATATACGTGAAAATTTTGAAATAAGAACAAGTAGATAATTTCTATTTGTTTATAAAGATAAAAATTAGGTAAATAACGTTTTCTTATTTAACAGTATACAGAAGATGAATTAAGTTCTTAGAATCTAAGCATCTCATGAATGCAAACATTTTTAAATAAGGAGCATCCAGTGTAAGTGTAGTTTGCATGATAATCTTCATTTAGTGTGGAAACCATCTTCAGAAAAAGATTGACAGCATAGCCAGGTGCTGGTGGCTCATGCCTGTAATCGTAGCTCAGGAGGCTAAGATCTGAGCGCAGTTCAAAGCCAACCTGGACAGGAGAGTCTGTGAGACTCTTACCTCTAATTAACCACCAGAAAACTAGAAATAGAGCTGTGGCTCAAAGTGGTAGAGTGCTAGAGCTCAGATACAGTGCTCAGGCTCTTGAGTTCAAGCTCCATGGCTGCCAAAAAGTAAACAAAATTTAACAGCATATTTTTAGTGTAGAGGTGGTGACTATGAGCTTGTTCACAAAGTTTTAATCCCATAAATAAACTTTTTTGGGTATATTTCTTAGTGGAATACACTAAGTAGAGACTTAAAATATTTGTGGATAACAGCCTCTAGTGATGAATGCCTACAGTATATAGACTAGCATGTTCCCTGATTACTTTACTTATTACATAGGTCCAGCTCGCTGGAACAAGTTTACAGGCTACTGCTCAGTCTTTAAATGTACAGGTAAGCTGGGACATGAAATTATGGGTCAGATTTTCTGTTCATAATTTTCTATAATGAGCACATCATTTTTATTTTTTTGGTGGTACTGGGATTTGGTCTCAGGGCTTCACACTTATTAAGCAGATAATCTACTACTTAGCACCACACACTGAATTTCATGAAGATATCAGTGATAATTATTGCCATTAATGAAAATCAATTTATAGTCTGCTACTGTCATCAACCAAAGGTGGACCCCAAAAAAGTCTATTTTCAAAGTTTTTGTTTCTAAGTAAGTAGTCACTAAAACATTTTCCTAAACCCAAAGCCAAACAATGTCTTAAATGCCTTTGTTTAATTTTTTTTTTTGTCATTTTCATGTGTTAGGGAAACATTTATAGTACAGAGGAATAACACTGAGGAACATGGGGAATTTATATTTGAATTCTCATTCTGTTATGCACCCTTGGCAAGTTACTTAACCTCCTTAGGCTCAATTTTTCTTATCTATCTTAACTGGGAATAGTTAAAGGGTTTCCAGAGTTCCTCTCTGCTCCAAAGTGGGGGTGATGGTGGTAGTGGTGGTGGTGGTTTTTAAGAAATTATAATTAAGCCTGTTGATAGACAATAGTGGGTAAATAGTCATAATTTTAAAACATAACATAAATCTGGCCCTTTGCATCTATGAATCATATGTCAAAACACAATTCAAGTACCGTGTCACTCCATAACGTTTCAATCAACCTGCTGTTTCACATCATTATAGTGTTTAGCCAACTAACAGTTAAGAGGGTAAACAATATTCTGGGAGATTGATTTCCATGTTGCTAACAACTAAAGACTTTAGATTGAGTTTTCCATAAAACACAATGGAATGTGGACCTAGAAACACATGGAAACAGGGAAAGAAAAGAAATGAGATAATGTGACCTTCCTTTCTGAGGGAGAGGAGGTGGAAAACTGCCTTTGTTACCATGGTAAAGTTACATCCCTTAGAGAGATGTTGGCAAACAGGCTGTATCTCTGGTGCAGAATGTTTACAGTCCTGCACTGTAATTATCTTTCCATGACTGGCAGAATTAATCAGCGCTTTTATGTTAATTAGCCTTGCTGCTGTCCCTAAAACAGGTGGTGAGAAATATTCAAATCTATGCAGAATGTTAATGCTCTGCATAACCAGTTTTTAATTACCATAAAAATCTCTCTCAGTGCTCCTTTCAGCAGGATTATGTTCTCTCTTGAATGCAGCATATTCTGTCAAGTTTGTGTGTTACTCGATGGATGATGCTAGGTTCATAGTTCTATAAAATAGTAGATGAAAAGTTCTGTGAATCACATTATCAACCCTTAGAATCTAAGCATCCCTTAAGATAGTATATGAAGAAGTTTGAGACTGATCACTATGTATATGTAAAAATGTTGATATAAAGGGTCTAATACAAAAATCAGTTAAAAATGCATATCTCAACTTACTCCTTATTTCCAGAATTGGGGATTTGGGATTGTGAAAAATTCTTTTGAGCCAGGCACCAGTGGCTCACCTGTAATTCTAGCAACACAAAAACCAAAATCTGAGGATGGCGGTCGCCATTCAGAACCAGCCCAGGCAGGAAAGTCCATGAGACTCTTATATCCAAGTAACCACTAGAAAACTGGAAGTGGCACCTGTGGCTCAAAGTGGTAGAGTACTAGGCCTTGAGTGAAAAAGATCAGGGACATCACCCAGGCCCTGAGTTCTCAAGAGGGCTTGACTGACAAAAATTCTTTTGATTTGTGGAAGACCAATTTATCTTTTCTTATAAATAACTGGGTGAGCATAATGGCTTGGCTCATGCATGTAATGCCAACTACTGGAGAACTGTGGTTTGAGACCATTGTCAAATAGTTAGACCCTGTCTTGACCAGTAAAAAGCTGAGCCTGGTCATGTGCTCCTGTCCATAAATGCTAGACTCTGTTTTCAAAATAATGAAAGGATAAAAAACTAAGGGAGGAGCTCAAGCGGACTTCTTGGCTAACCTGTGGAAGGCCCTGAGTTCAAACCCCAGTAGTCACCTACCAAAATTTTTTAAAAGAAAATAAACTTTTAATTGGTATCTTACTGGTACTGGAATAAAGAGTCTAAAAATTAATTATGTCAAACTAGGAAGTCATAGGTTTATCAGAAAGAAAAGGAAACTGAGTAGCCCATGTTTTAAATGAATCGTAAACTGTAGAGTTTTAAGTACCTTCCTTGTAATCAATTATTTGAAATCCTTTATTTCCTACCCCACTCCACTTTAGTCTAAATCTAGTGAAGAATCTGGGGATTCACAGCAGCCAAGCCAGCCTTCCCAGCAGCCTTCAGTGCAGGCAGCTATTCCCCAGACCCAGCTTATGCTGGCTGGAGGACAGATAACTGGGGTAAGTTTTCACACGTAATTGTAATAAGCTTTCTCTATGTCAGAACTGCCATTGACTGACAGCTAATTAGAATTGTTCACTAAAACCAGCAGTAACATGGTACTATTTTGAGTTTAAAGGAACTCCCTACACTGTTGACAGGTCTAGAAATGGAATTATCTTCGTCATGTGTTTCAAGGTTTCTTTTATTAAAATTGCAGGTGCTCACATATAAACTAGGACTTTTAAAAGTCATATACCTTGTGTTGCTTTGCCATGGAGTTGTATCATTTCTGTGATTAAGATCATTACCTTGATGAAACAACCGTGTTAATTTGGAGTTAAATCACCAGTGGATAGTGCAGAGGATTTAAAGAATGGATTAACACTTAAAAACTTTTTCTTTAAGTGACTGTAATGTTCTAAAGTAAAACATGTAGTCTCAGATTCTAGCTCTGTATCTAGTCTAATCACTTCATGTCTCTGATAACAGTTTTCCTTCTGTTAAATGGGAATGTAGAGAGAGATTACAAACAATGCTTGGCTTTTAATAATTCAGTAAATGTCATGTACTTTCACTAGAAACAAAGTGGCCCGTGTGTTTTCTGTTTAGTTTTGTTTTGTTCTTAACTTTTCAACTATCTTTGTTTTAAGGCATCATTTAAAATGCTTTTTTTTTCCTTGTGTTAAAAGTTTCCATATTATATTGTCTTTTAAGGAGGTAGTTAGGAAATAATAAGGAAAAGTTTTATTCACATTATAACAACCATTAGAATTTTTATTCATTTCACTTAAGTGTGTTTGACAATGGAAGACTCCAAAGTAGTAATTAATATATGTATCTATTTAAATATATAAGTATATGCATACATATCCTGAAAGGCATTGACTTTTTGAACAGTTTGCTTTTTATTCTTCTGTTTCTAATGCATAAATTTTGTTAGACCTTTTTATTTTATTTATTTATTTATCTTTAGGTCTGGTTGTGGGGCCTGAACTCTGGGCCTGGGCACTGTCCCTCAGCTCTTCAGCTAAGGCTAGCACTCTACCACTTGAGCCACAGCACCACTTCCGGCTTTTTTCTCTTTGCTTATGTGGTGCTGAGGAATCGAACCCAGGACCTCATGCATGCAAAGGCAAGCGCTCTACCACTGAGCCACCTTCCCAGCCCCTTGTTAGACCCTTTTAGAAGAGGGGTTGTGCCACTAAGTAACTGTGCAGTTCAGAGTATACATGGTTCCTTTTTGTTTGATTAGAACAAAGTAGCAAAGCATATTTGAAGTAAGTTGCAATAATATAATAATAAAGCATATATAAAATACTATATATAATTACAAAAACAATGAAGTTGTGTAATAAATAAATAATGGAGTTGTATAAATTATAAAGTTATATAATAATTCTTTTGAAAGCTAGCTTAAATCTACTCTTATTTTACTCTTTGGAGTGTTTGTTTTTGGTAACATGAAGCACTGACACTGAAGCTTCTATGAGACCTGGCCATTGGGATTTTTAGCATGTATAGAGAATGGCTGTCACACCTGTTTTATAGAGATAATGTGTTGAAAAGAGGATATAAAGTTGCATAGACTCAATGCTTTTAGTGACAAGAAACGTATGTATTAGAGATCTGGAAAAGAAACTAAATAGGAGGTCTTATTCTTTAGTCACATCTTAGAACATAATGGAAAAGGTAGGATATGGCAGTGATTTGTGCTAATAGGAAGCAGCTGAGCCTTGTCAGTTCTTTTACTGGTCATATGCAGCATCCTTACTTCTGATTCATCTAATAACCTGCTGTTCTGTTTGTTGGGTATAAATTTCTTTTTCATATCGTATCAGCATTCTTTTCTTGCTTACTAGTTACTTTTCTTGCCCGAAACCTTGAGTCCTAAATAAGCTTGAATGATTGTTTTAATCTGGAGTGAGGACTACCATTTTAATTTAGTAATGATAGTTTAATCACCAATAGACATTTTAGCTGCATGCTAATAACTATATTAAGTTGAATAACTAGGACTTAGTTACCTATTAAAGTGGTTGGCTTACACTGGAAACCATGCTTCTTCAACCCTCTCATTGCCCTGATTTTCTTTAGCTCACTTTGACACCAGCCCAGCAACAGTTGTTATTACAGCAGGCCCAAGCCCAGGCCCAGTTGCTGGCTGCTGCAGTGCAGCAGCATTCTGCCAGCCAACAGCACAGTGCTGCTGGAGCCACAATCTCAGCCTCTGCCGCCACACCTATGACGCAGATCCCCCTGTCTCAGCCCATACAGATTGCACAGGTAAGTAAGGAATGCAGGTCACTGGCCCAGAATATAAAGAATAAAAAGACAGATTTTATTTAAATTCATTAGTCTTAATTTCTTAGTCTCAAATTCATGTTGTGATCGCTAGTTTAGGCCTTAAAGGCCTCTTGATCAGTAAGGTAAGTGGTACTTTTCTTAATACTGAATTAGAAATAATGTATTTATTTGCTTATTAGAGTTGGCATTATACACATAGAGATGATTGTATGACTATTTTATATTAAGTGACAATTCTTGAATAAGTAGCTAGCATATTTCTGAGGCAGAAGATTACTGTATTTACCTTAATTAACCAATTACAACAGGCATGGGTTCTTTGCATATGCTCTACAGTAATGTTGCTACCCGTATGTGAGAAAGACAGGCAGTCTGCTCTGTGCTGTGTAGTGATTACCACTGCATTAGACTACATTAGAATGTTGCTTGATATCTATTTTCACATTTTGTGGCAAAGTAGGTAGTGGTATCAAAAAATTCAAGAGGCATAGAGAGTAGGATCAAAGAAGAAAGTAAGTAAAATCCTTTATCTCAAGAAAAGGAAAAATGTATTAGTAGTTATTGAGTAAAACATATGAAGGAGTTGCAATTACCTTTATCCATGCCAAAGAAGGTTTAGAAGTGGATCTAAATTGTAGCAAGTTACTTAAAAATATGGAGCTGATCTTACGACCACTTATATAGTTTTATCACAATGATGCTTTGATTTTGATCACTTTTTTATCATCAGATAAATACTTACAGTCCCCATGAGGCAAGACCATATGTTTATGTTAGTGTAAAGATAATTTACTGTGACTGCACTTTGAAAAACCCTGTGGTATAATAGGCATCTGATTTTTGTATGTATAACTTTTTTCCTTTAAAACAACAATGATTTCTCAGTTCAGTGTGAATGTGTAAGTTGGTATCAAGTTTCATGAATCAAAGATCTTTTAGTCTATTGATGATAATTCAGAAACATCCTCAAAAGAGAATGAGAGAAGTATTTAAAAGCTCTTTTCCCACTTTACTTTCATACCAATGTTGAAGAAACATCTCTAACCATTTTTTCTGAGAGAATTTAAAGTTACTGTTAGAAGTTAGGTTGGGGCTGGGAAGGTGGCTCAGTGGTAGAGCGCTTGCCTTGCATGCATGAGGCCCTGGGTTCGATTCCTCAGTACCACATAAGCAAAAAGAAAAAAAGCCGAAGTGGCACTGTGGCTCAAGTGGTAGAGCGTTAACCTTGAGTTGAAGAGCTGAGGGACAGCGCCTAGGCCCAGAGTTCAGGCCCTACGACCAGATTCTCCCCCCTCCCCCCCCCCCCCAAAAAAAGAAGTTAGGCTTAGCGTTAGATTGATACTATCATACCTACAAAGAAGTAACCTATAGAGGCTACCAGTTTCCTCACACACTATGTGAAACACACCTATAACTATTGGAATCTGAAAGAAAACTAAATATGGACACCTTTTACTTGTGTGAAACAGAAGTCATCAGGCTAGGAACTTTATCTTTAAGTAAGCTTTTATTTCAGAATCTCTAATCCATGTTTAATTCTGATTTTTCAGGACCTTCAACAATTGCAACAGCTTCAACAGCAAAATCTCAACCTGCAACAATTTGTGTTGGTACATCCAACCACCAACTTACAACCAGCACAGTTTATCATCTCACAGACGCCCCAGGGCCAGCAGGGTGAGCTCCTCCCTAGAGCCTATTAGTAGACACTAAGGTGTCCAAGGCTATCCACTTCATGTGGCACACACCTTGACTGTTATTTTAACCTTAATACTTATTTTAAACTATCAGTATTAACTGTTAAGAAAAAAATGTTTGTGACCAAATATAGCATACTATTGAAGGTTGCTCTTTACTTGCATTCACTTGTAATCACTAGAGTAGTCAAGATTTTGGCTAAATGTGTAGCCCAAACTATTCACTATACTGACCATAGATTAGATAAATTGCTTCTAGTGTTCTGATACTATATGCTTTGAATATAGTCTGATCATTAAAAATACATGCTTCTAACAGTTATTTGACATACTTTTAAAGTTTGAGAAGATTTTAGTATGAGAAACTATAAATTTTGAGTTATTTAAACCATCTTTGAGGCCTTTGAGTAGGAGCTATTGATAAGTAACTTTTCTATCAAATTATATTAGGGTTTAATCCTACTTGCAAGTTCTGGTTAATGTAATCAGTGTAAATATTATCAAGAAATAAAGCCTTCAGGCCAGGTGCCCATGACTTATACCTATAATCTTAGCTACTCAGGAGGCTGAATTCTGAGGATTGTGAGAAAACAGCCTTAACAGGTAAGTTTGCCACAGTCTTATCTCCATTTAACCAGCAAAAAGCTGGAAGTGGAGCTATGGTAAGTGGTAGAGTGCTAGCCTTGAACAAAAAGGCTAAGGGATACCAGGCCCTGAATTTAAGCCCTGGTACCAAAAAAACATCGGAAAGAAACCAGACACTGGTGGCTGATTCCTGTAACGTGGCTACTTAGGATGCTGAGATATGAAGATTGAAGTTCAAAGCCAGCCTGGACAGGAAAGCTTGTTGAGACTCTTTATTTCCCACAGAAAAAGCTGAAAGTAGAACTGTGATTCAAATGGTAGAGTGCCAGCCTTGAGCAAAAAGTTCAGGGACTGTGCCCAGGCCCAGAGCTCAAGCCCCAACACTGGCAAAAAAAAAAGGAAGGAAGATTTTCAGCTCAAAGCTGTATCTCTACTGATTTTTTAAATTATTATTAATTGTACATATCTATGGATAATGTACATCTGGTATGTATATACAATTCCTTAAACATTTTTAATTTTATGGTAGTACTAGGATTTGAACTCAGGCCAATGCTCTACTACTTAAGTCATACCTCTAGCCATTTTTTTTTTTTTTTGCTTGGGCATGAGCCTACACTGAAATCTTCCTATTTACACTTGCTGCTATACCTGGGATGACAGGTGTGTGCCAGCCATGGTCAGCTCTTTCCGTTGGAAATGGAGTCTCACAAATGTGTTTGTTCAGGTTGGTCTCAAACTGTGATCTTCCTATGTCTGTATCCCAAGTAACTAGAAATATAAGTGTAAGATCCTGGCGTACCCAGTACCTTGTTTCACACATAATGATTATGCATATTTACAGGAGAGGATGTGATTTTTCTTTTTAATACTGTCTACATGATATAGTATATAATGATCAAATTTCAGTACATTATTTCTAGAATTTTGTTTTCTGTCATTTTTGCTTTTTAGGTCATTTATTCCAAATCTTTTGTTACATAAAAACTATTTTACCCTGTGCTTAAAAGATAATAAGTCAATTTTTACTATTGAAGAGTTCACAATCTAGTGACAGGGAAATCACAGTCTAGTAACAGGGAAACCAACTTTATAAGTTTTAGATGTGATATGTACAGAATGCTATGGGAATAAAGGAGGGAGACCTCGTTGTACCTTTATATCAGAGATGCCTTCATAGTGGCTTGAAATAATGCATTCCATAGATAACAAAGTAGAGAAAATATCTTAGAAAATGGATAACATTTGCATGGCTCAGAGACATGGGAGAGAAATTAATAATCTTTATTTGAAAACTATAAGACGTGTCTTAAAATCATAAGTTACATATATGAATAAAAGTGCATTTAAAACCAGAGTTTAGCAAAGGTCAGATCATTAAAAAACAAAAACCTGATGTTACCTTCTAAGAGTTTGACTTTAAATCCTACGTACAGCTCAATAGTCCCAAGGTTCAACTTGTTTACAAGTCACAGACTTTTCTGCCTAGGCTGGCTTTGAGCTTCAATCCTCAAATCTCAGCTCCCTGAGTAACTAGAGTTACAGACATGAAACACTGGCACTCGGCTTGAGCTTTATTCTTTTAAATAAAATTTTTTAAGAAGCCAGTACCTTTGGCTTTGACAAAAATTAAATGAAAGCAATCTCATTATAGTTTCCCAAAAGCTCCCAAATTTCCTATATGTCCATAATTAAGACTAATCAGATATAACTAATAATTTTAGACAAATAAGAATTTAAAGATCTATAAGATTATTAGGAGATCATTTGGAAAATTTCAAGGGTTTTTGTTGTTTCGTTTTGGTGGTATTGCAGTTTTGAAACTTAGAGCCTAATGCTTACTAGACAAGTACTCTACCAGTTGAGCCACACTCCAGCCCTGGAAATATTCACTTCATGTTCTTCGCGTGTGTGTGTGTGTGTGTGTGTGTGTGTGTGTATGTGTGTGTAATTGCTCGAAGTAATTTTTAATGTCTGTAGAGTAACATGTTTATGTTTTACAGGTCTCCTGCAAGCGCAAAATCTTTTAACGCAACTACCTCAGCAAAGCCAAGCCAACCTCCTACAGTCGCAGCCAAGCATCACCCTCACCTCCCAGGTTAATTTTTTCTTCCCCTAAAATTTTTACTTAATTTTAGACTACTCAATTTTAAAGCAAAAACTCTAATAAAAATAATCCAAAATCTGACCACTGGTGAGGTCAGAGTCCCCAGGCTTCAGCCATGCCTTTAACACATGAACTTTTTGAGGGGCACTTTTTACTCAAACTATAATACTGGAAATAGCAGGTAGCATTCTTACCCTGGTAAAAGGACATCTACCTGGCCCACCCAACAAAAAATAATAATAATAAATAAAAATGTGTTTGTATCCTACATAATTATGAAAGACTCATCTTCTAATTTGGAACAAGACAAGGTGACCACTGTTACCACTTTCACTAGTATTGTGCTGACAATGCTAGCAATGCAAAATGGCAAAAAAAAAAAAAAAAAAGATATATGTTTTACTTCTTTAGAAAGAAGCTATTTTAATTTGTAAACAATGTGATTTATCTACAAAGAAAAATACTAAAGAATCTTAAAAAATGCAGCAGGTGTAAATGAGTTTGGTAAGTGCGTTTGGTAAGTGAGTAAGCATACATAATTTATAACACCAATTGTATTTCTTTTTTGTTGTTGTTGGAAGGTAAGACAGATGAAAGACTTTAAGAAGTAAGAAAGTTGTAGGACTGTGTGATATTAAGAATTATTATAAAGCTACAGAAATGACTGTGATACTGGCATAAAGATAGAAGTATAAGATCAGTGAAATAGAGTCTACTAGACTCACCATAAATTGCCAACTGGCTTTCCAAAGATGACAAAGAATTTCAGTGAGAAAATAGTTAAGGTTTATAGTAAGAGAATGAGAAGAAAATGTACGTATGGGGGAGATATTTTTTAACAATATCTGATAAAACATCTAGAATAAACAAATCTTACAACTCAGTAACAAGGCAACCTAATTTATGCTAGTAAGAGACAAAAAACTTTGAAGCTACTCTACCAAAGAAGATAAGGTGATACCCAGTAAAAATATAAAATGGTGTTCAAAATCATTAGTTACCAGAGAACTGCAAATGAAATAGTACTGCACAGTCATTTTAAAATGAGCACAGTTCTGAAGGCTGTATGACCAAGTGTTAACAAAAATGTAAAGGTAACTAGATTTCTCATATATTGCTAGTGTTTTTTGCAAAATGGCATTTTTTAAATAAAGTTATATATATATATATATATGTACCTTATGGAATGTACTTCTTATACATGCAGAAACTAGATGATTCCATTTACATGGCATTTTAGAAATGTAGTTAACAGAATGAGAATTAGTGATAGGAATTAACTGCAAAAGACACAGCAGAACTTTGAAAGGGTGATGAAAATGTTATGTAACTTAATTGTGTTAGTAGTTGTATAACTATTCAGTTGTCAAAGCATATCAAACTATATATTCTGCAGGGGGCCATCTTTGAATGCAGGGTTTTGAACAAGATACAAAAACCTGTGCCAGAGACTCCTTCATGACTTACATGCTTGCCACATAGTAACAGGCTGTTGGGACTCCATATTGACTCTTGCTCACTGAATTCTGTTCTACCATTTCTAGATTTGGCATGGTCCAGCCTGAGATTTGTGGAAATGAGATATCTTAGCTATACAATAGTTGAGTCTCAGTTCTGTTTTACCTGGTTCACTGTGAGAAGGGCACAGCCACCTAGGATTCTAATATATCTTGTGCTTTGTTTGACTCCCCCAAAATGGTCTGGTTGAAAATTACTCACTGTCAACATGTCCTGGACTCTGTTACCTTCGTTGAAGCAGGAGTGATTATCTGTTGTGTAGTTTTCTGGGCAGTTAGTTCCCTTGGAGAAAGCTTTGAGTAATGAGGTCAAGGTCATAGACCTTTTAAGTTACAAGAAGAAAAAGTCACAACCATAGGCTTTATCTTTAATCCTGGTCTATAATCTCTTACCTGGGCTACATTTCACAGGAGGGATGAACTGAACAATTAGGGTACAGAACCAGGACAGCAATCCACATCAGTGAAAACACAGAGAGGAATACACTACTGAGGGCTTATGAGTAGAACAGAGTGGCTTTAGTGTTTTCTTTAAAAATAGAAAGAACAAGAACTAGTTATAATTTAGTTTATGTGCACTTAAAAATACACATGTGAGCCATCAGTACCTGGCTACAATGAAAATTTTTAGTCAGTTGGAAAAAAATGATTTGTGATAATAAGACAAAGGCTTACTCCAAAACATTTAATGAGTACAAATTTTGTAGGAGATATACTGTTTACTTCCTAGTGATCAAAGTATTTTTTAAATTGCTAACATAAATCATGTGGAATAAATGGTAGTGGGAACTAATATTGTGTTGTATGTTAGAAGCCAAGAAATAATTTATTCAATTATCAGAAAATTCCTTATGAATTTATCTTAACCTATGTTTTTTGCAACCATTTACAAAATTTTTATATGATGCTATCTGTATTAATGAAAACATACATTTAAAAAACTTTATCAATTAAAAAATAATGAGGTAAATATAATATTGCCTCAATCGATGAAAAGGATAATTATGAAAACTGAAACATTACAAAGTTAAAATGTAATATTAAATGAGAAAAGGTGTAATTATGCATAATTACAGTTAAGGTTAAAAGCTATAGGAAAAGCCTTGAAATCCTCAAAATGTCTGTGATCCAGGCACAGTGGGGCATACCTATAATACAAATACTCAGGAGGCTGAGATAAAGGGACCAAGAATTGCATACCATTCTGAGCTACCTTGCAAAGCTGAGGCCAGCCCTGCTCTCATAGTAAGACCACTCAAAAATCAAAACAAAGAAAAACTCTATAGTGATCAACCTCCCCCCTTAAATAATTTCAGGATTGCTTCTCAAGTCTTCTACCTCAGAACAAGTGTATAACTTGCTGAGTGCTAAGTGGCTGAGGGTAGAACACTTGCCTAACCTATGAGAGGCCTTATATTTAATTTCCTGCATAGTTAGATAGATAGAATATCATTTGTAAAACACTGTTACAGTATCATTTGTATAATACTGTGTTAACATTTTGGTAGATGTGGTCCCTGCTGTTTTGATTGTCTTAAGCAAAATATCTATAAAATAGGGAGTAATTTCTGGTCTGTATTCAGACCAGATTAAGAAAAAGGCCTGAAGCATGGATTGGATTGAGTATACTTACAGTCTTAAGCATCCTTTTATTCATTCTTCTCATTATCCAGCAGCCAGCAACCCCAACACGCACAATAGCCGCAACTCCAATTCAAACACTTCCACAGAGCCAGACAACACCAAAGCGAATCGATACTCCCAGCTTGGAGGAGCCCAGTGACCTTGAGGAGCTTGAGCAATTTGCCAAGACTTTCAAACAAAGACGAATCAAACTAGGATTCACTCAGGTACGAGGAACCCACTCTTCCTTGATTGGATACAAATATTTACTTTATATATCTGAAGAAACTTCTAAATAATTATATGATCCTCAGCCATGTTATTTTTGTTTTAGCTGTAACTTTTGCTAGTCATTTCATATTTTTAGGTTTAGCATATATTTTCCATTATAATCTTACATTGATTTACAACTTAAAAACATTGAAGATTTATCTCATACCTCAGACCTCTGAAATTATATCAATAAATTGTAAGGATTTGAAAGGTTAATTGGGAAATGGTATGACTGTGCTAAAGAGAACAACTAGATGTAGACTTTACTGTTCCAGAAGGAAGACTGTGAGAGTAAAGATTACACAGATAAGTTTGAAAGGCTTTGTTTCTTGGGAAAGAGGTACAAGGAGATTCCTCTCTAAGCCTACAGTGAAATTAATTAATCAAATCAAAACCTATTGGACATAAAAAGTCCAAATTAATCAGAATCCAAATTAATTTTTTTTTTTTTTTGGTCGGTCGTGGGGCTTGAACTCTGGGCTTGGGCACTGTCCCTCAGCTCTTCAGCTCAAGGCTAGCGTTCTACGACTTGAGCCATAGCCCCACTTCCAGTTTTCTGGTGTTTTATTGGAGAGAGTCTCACAGACTTTCCTGCCTGGGCTGGCTTTGAACTGCGATCCTCAGATCTTACCATTCTGAGTAGCTAGGATTATAGGCCTGAGCCACCAGTGTCCGGCCCAAATTAAATTTTAATGTCAACTGTCAGAGATCTTTTAAAGTGGAACTAATATGCTTAATAGTTTAAACAGGCATGTGATATTCTGTTCTAACCACTGCCACTGACTTCTTGAATCACTCACAGTCTTTTAAAGGAGAAGGGAATGAAACTGAAGATATTTATGTACAGTAATGTATAACATTAAGTAAAAAAAACAAAAACCTGAAGTATTGGGTTGGGTATTGATGCTTTCTTTCCAGAAAATATAATTATTTTTGTTTACAATTTAAGCCTCTACTTAAACATTACCCAAAGTAGTTTCTGTTGAAAGTGCATAAAATACCACCTGTTCTGATAGATCAAAAGTCAAAGTGATATCTCTGCCTCCATTCTAGGTGTCTGTAGGAACAGACTTACATTTCTTAATATACTTTGGGTTTGGAAATTTATTTTTGTTCGAAGAATCTTTGTTTAAGATTATAAAGCAACTTTTAAATAGACGTAATTTCGGACAAAGTATTGTTACTTCTTAAGATAACTTTTTAAAGATAATCTAGACTGATGTTAACTTAAGCTGAAATACAGTTAGCATATTTTAGAATATTGACCCAATGTACTTTTGTTTTCCTTGGCCTAAGTGTGTGGCCTAAGTGATAGGCCAAGTATGGTAGAGCTTTTAAAAACTCTTTTTCCCAAATAGTTATTTGCCTTTCTGTGGTATTTGACCCAGTTTAATACTGCCAGTAATGTGTCTACACACAGCTATGTCTAGATCTCTTCTCTATATTCTCATGTTGTACTTTATGGTTTTATCCTAATTTTTAGCACGGCCCTTACCAGATTTTAAAATGATCTTGACATTACAGTAGCATCTTTCATGATTGATTATATGAATCAAAGCACATTCTGCTAGTGCAGGATTTCAGGTGTGAGCTACCAGCACCTGGCTTTTTTTTTTTTTTTTTTTGTCGGTCATGGGACTTGAACTCTGGGCCTGGACACTGTCTCTCAGCACTTCAGCTCAAGGCTCTAGCACTCTGCCACTTAAGCCATAGCACTACTTCTGGTTTTCTGGTGGTTTATTGGAGAAGAGAGTCTCAGGGACTTTCCTGACCAGACCGGTTTTGAATCTCAATCCCCAGATCTCAGCCTCCTGAATGGCTAGGATTACAGGCGTGAGCCACCGTGCCTGGCTATTTTTTTCTAATTAGATATTTGCCTGAGCTCTGATAAGAAGTACATAATCAGAAAGCATGTCTTATAGTATTTAACACGATAACCAAATGCAATATTTTCATTATTTCTCTGCCCTGATATTTTCTTCTTTGTTGTTTTTGCTCTTTTTAGAGATTATAATAAAGTTCATTATATGTGAATCAACTATTTAAAACATTTAACCTGTTTTTTCTTTTTTTCTTTTTTTTGGACAGTCCTGAGGCTTGAACTCAGGATCTGGACACTGTCACTGAACTTCTTTTGCTCAAGGCTAGCACTCTACCACTTGAGCTACAGCACCACTTCTGGCCTTTTCTGTTCATGTGGTACTGAGAAATTGAACCCAGGGCTTTGTGCCTGCTAGGCAAGCACTCTACCACTAAGCCACATTCCCATCTAAAACAGTTAACTTTAGTGAGGAAGAACTCAAGATTAAATTTATAAGGGTATTAAATTAAGCTTGTATCATATTAATGAAAATTAGTATGTTAACTAGATGCCTATGGCTTTTTCTTCCTGTTAATCATCCTTGAAGTAAAATTGTAATACAATATCAATTAATTTTTAATGTTTTGACAGGGTTCTACTTAGTTAACAGTATCAGGTTTTTTCGTAACCCATAAAATATTTTTTAATACTTAAGATGTGGTTTTTGAATAGAGTTGTTTTTTTATTTCTGATTATTTTGTTACATTGCAGAGATTTGTAAAAAATGTTTGTGAATTTAGTTACAATGTCAAAAAGATTTATTGCCATCTAACTGCTACTTAATAGTGTCAAACTTTAAAAGAAAAAAAGGGGTAGGTTATAGTTGACTCTCCTAGTTTCTAGAATGCTACAAACTAAGTGACTAAGTTAAAACAAATTCACATAGTAGCATTGGATGAATATTCACTGACTGAATGCAATGATGTATAATAAATATGTAAAGATGCAGATAAACACATCTATTCAGGTCTTTAGATTTTTTTTATATGAAGACAAAATGGACAGCATTTGTGCCCTATTCACCCTGTCCTGTTTCTTTATATCGTACTAAAATTGGAAGGAAATCAATAAACAGTCTATTTCGGTTGTAGTTAGAGAGGATATTCAGAGCTGACAGCAATGGGAATGATCTCTTTGTAGAGTCCAGTACAACTGCCACTATTCACTAATGCCTGTCGAGCCCTTGAAAATTTATTTAACTTCAAATAAATTAAAATGGCCACGTATATCTACTGGCTATCATATAGGAGACCTGGACAGTTCATCACTTGAAGTTGAAATATTCTATATATTTCATTTTATAGTTTGATATTTGTCCTCTGTGAAACTTTTTATTCGAAGTTGGTCACCTGTTAGAAAACAAGAGGTTTAGCCAGATGCTGGTGGCCCATGCCTGCAGTCCTAACTACTTAGAAGGCTAAGATCTGAGGATCACAGTTCAAAGCCGGCCCAAGCAGGAAAGCCATGTGCGACTCTGTCGCCAACTAGTCATCAGAAAACCAGAGGGGGTGCTGTGGCTCAAGTGGTTGAGCAATAGTCTTGAGCAAAAGAGCTCAGAGACAGCACCCAGACCCTGAGTTCAAACCCATAATGGACAAAAATAAATTAAATAAAAATAAAGCAAGAGTATTTAAAAAATACTGTCTCACTTCTCAGAAGTAAGAATGGCCAATAAAAACATGTGGAAATGCTCAACATCCCTATCCATAAAGGAAATGCAAATCAAAAGAACGTTGAGATTCCATCTTACTCTAGAAAGATTGGCCAGAATTGAGAATTCAATTACAATTGCTGGCAGGAATGTGGAGGAAAAAGGAATCCAGTTGCACTGTTGGTGGGTAGAGTAAACTAGTACAATCACTATTCAGGATGGTTAGGTGATTACTCAAAAACTAAACATAGATTTACCCTGCCATCCAGCTGTATCACTCTTGGATATCTATCCAGAACATTACAAGTTAGGATACAGTGAAGACACTTGCACATCTATATTCATTGCTGTACTATTCACAAAAGCCAAGTTATGAAAATAGCCAGATGCCCTATAATGGATGAGTGGATTGAGAAAATGTAATAGATATATACATACATACATATATACATGGACACACATACATATGTACATACATACATACATAAAATAGAATTTTACTCATCTATTAGAAAGAATAATATATCATTTGCAGGGAAATGGATGTACCTAAAATAAATCTTAAGTGGGGCTGGGAAGCTAGCTCAGTGGTAGAGTGCTTGCCTAGCATGCATGAGGGCCTGGGTTCGATTCCTCAGCACCACATAAGCAGAAAAAAGCTGGAAGTGGCACTGTGGCTCAAGTGGTAGGGCACTAGCCTTTAGCTGAAGAGCTGAGGGACAGCACCCAGGCCCAGAGTTCAGCCACCAGGACTGACAAAATAAATCTTAAGTGAGGCTCAGAGAGACAAATGACACATTTTCTCTAATGTGGAATCTAGATCTAAAATATAACTATGCATGATAATATATACAGAGCTCAATGCATTTATACACAGACAAACAGGAGGTTTCACCTAAGGGAGGAATCTGACGGCATAACTCCTCTGAACAACTAATGTACTGTTTATCAAAACAAGTACCAGGAAGTGGAAACATGTTTTGGGAGGAGGTGTGTAAAGGAGGGGCACAGGAATGGGAGGAGGAAGGGTTAGCAAATGTAGTTATTATATTCAATGTACATTATGAAAAAATGAACTATGTAACTTGAGGGTAGGGATAGAAGGGGCAAAATGGAAGGAAATAAAGGAAGGAGTGACATTGAACAAGAAGGATTATATTCATAACCTGACTTATGGAATTCTGACCCCTTTTATAACTACTTAATAATAATAATGACAATAATAATTCTTCCTTTGCCTAGACTATTGCCTAATATAGCCACTAATAAATAGTGTTAAAAATGGTATGTGTGGGTGTGTGTGGGTATCAGAAATAGTATAATCCCAATTCAAAATAGTGGACTAGGGACACGTCTCAGTTGGTAAAGAGCTTGTGAAGGCCTGAGTTCAAAACCCATTACCATTGAACACAACAAAAATAATGTTGCCAGATTAATTGAGAGTTAGCTCTCTTGTAGTAGAATTGTTTGGTATTCAGGACCAGAAATGCTGTTGCCTTGTTGCTAAATTAACTGGAGTGAGTAAATCATTTAAACTCTACTGCATTTCTATTATTTATCTATAAAATGACTATTAAGATACAGTTTTTTCAGGCTTAAAGAAGGATCCAACTGGAGAAAAGCATTATGTACATTTCAAAGGTTATAGGCTCATGGAGAACATCTTTTGTAATATATTCAAGGGATCATTGTTCTAATGTTACAAGGTTACTAAGTTTCCAGTGCCTATGAGGTTTTGATGAAATGGGTCAAACCTCTCTACTGTGAATTTCTTTCGATAATGGTTACAGAAGTGGTCTTTTTTTTCTGTTTTTTATAACCAACTTTGAAATCCAAACTAAGGGTTAACAAAGGTATTTTTTTTTCACAGCTTCCAGAAATACTTTCTAGGAAAAAAGAAAAAGAATGAGAGATGATTTCTAAATTTTAGAGTTTGTAGGAAGTTGGTTGGTTCAGAAATTTCTAGGTTATCTTGATAATGACATCTAATCCTTATAGATAATACAGATAAATTGATACTTAAAGATGACTTGAATCACTTTGGCTTAATTAAGGGTCTTGTTAGAATGGTAAGCACTATCCTTGGAAACTCAAGGAAGTCTTAGTGTCTTGTTACATAGAGTAGCTAGAAAAGATTCAGAGTAGAAAGCATACAGAGCAATATTGAATGCTGCTGTGATCATGTAAACATTAATGAGATGAATAGCTTTCTCTTTTCCACTCCCCCTCTACTGGTCTGTATTATGCAGGGTGATGTTGGGCTCGCTATGGGTAAACTGTATGGAAACGACTTCAGCCAAACTACCATCTCTCGCTTTGAAGCCTTGAACCTCAGCTTTAAGAACATGTGCAAGTTAAAGCCACTTTTAGAGAAGTGGCTAAATGATGCAGGTAAGTAAATATATAAGAATATTTTTTTGGGGTGGGGGGGGGGGGTCCAGTCATGGGGCCTGAACTCTGGGCCTGGGCACTGTCCCTCAGCTCTTCAGCTCAAGGCTAGTTGCGCTACCTCTTGAGCCATAGCACCACTTCCGGCTTTTTTATTTTCTGCTTATGTGGTGCTGAGGAATCGAACCCAGGGCCTCATGCATGCAAGGCAAGCACTGTACCACTGAGCTACCTTCCCAGCCCAAGAAATTTCTTAATGTCTATAGGAGTCTTACGGGAAAGGGGCTATTGTATGAACTATGTCTTATTATATTGTTGGTACTACAAAATTTTGAAACTCACTAATCCTGGGAGGATCTTTATATAAACTATGGCTATGTAAATCAGAGACCTGACTTATTTAAATATTCTAGTTATTATAAAATAAATAATCAGCACTAAATTTTAGCTTTGGAATATTAAGATACTTGATCTAGGGTTATGGTCAGTTGAGGAAGGAAATCAAAAGGCCTGTGTATTTAGATAATCTTGAAGAACTAATGTGTTATTTCGTCCTTGCTAGATTTTCAAAGAACTTGTTCCTTGTAATCTCCACTTTTATTATTAAAAGTGGCCACATATTTCATACAGAAAGTTGAATTTCTACCCTATATATATTTGGGGGGGAGGACTCTTGTTGGCATCTTTATTCAGACAAATGTAGAAAATCTCAGGCAAAGGTAAAGATGCGATGGATATTTAAGACCATCAAAGCATTTGTGTCTCCTTAGGAATGATGGATAACGATATGGGAATTATGCACGTTAAGAAAAGTTTTCATTTTTCGTCAAACTCTTTGCTGCTAGGAAAAAAACAACAACCTATCTACAAGAAACAGTAGATGTTGGAATCTTGTAAGAAAGAATTTTTGGTTCTCCAACAGCAGTGCCCCTATCTCCCCGACAATACACATATCTGCAACAAGTGCTCCCACGGGACCGCCCCCCCCCTACCCCCAGTACAGGTGCAGGAGTGCATAATGGATGGTAGACTCCTGAGCTCTGGTCCCATCTTGTTTCCGCAGGAGTACAGGTTCAGCTACTACATCTCCTGCGTCTCCTCCTCCCCCCCCCCTTTTTTTTTTTGCATGTACCTGCCTTTATTTTTTTTTTAATTTTTTATTGTAAAGATACTATACAGAGGGTTACAGTTACATGAGCAAGGTAATGAGTACACTTCCTATTAAGAGCATTGTTACCCCCTCCATTGTTTTCCCCCTACCATCCCTTCCCTCCCTACCTTCCCTGAGGTTCTTTTTTTTTTTTTAAATTGTGATTAAGTGATTACATAACTTCCCAAATTTAACATATCCTAGCTATTGTGTTCAGTGCTGCAATAAACATGGAGTCTACCCTATATATTTTATGCGAGATGCCTTTCTAGAACTTTGGATTTTGAGCCACAGAATCATAGACTCTGAAAGCTGAAAGGAACCATAGAGATATTCTGTAGTATGGTTCTCACTGTAGATGTGAATACAAATTAAGACTTAAAAGAAGAGGATCCTTAAGTCCTTACCCTTTGGCAGTTTGATTCAGTAACTGAGGCCCAGCTATCTGTAGTCTTGAGTTACATAGGAAAGAATCATCTCATTTCACATACTGAATAACAGTTCAGGGATATGTATATGACATACCCAAGATTACTAAGCTATTAAATGAAAGAATACTGTTTTAACAATATTTAGCAAGTAAAATGAGAGGTTAATTTTAAGACATTAAACAATGAGTAATTTCTAAGAAGCTTTGTTTATCCTCAGAACTAAAAAATAAGCATACTGACAAACATGCATAAGAAAAAAAACCAAGAGACTGATTTCAGTTTACTGTATGAACAGTAAACTTCTATATTATCAGAAACAAATAAAAAAGTAGTGATCAAACCTCCTATGACATAGAATGTCAGTAAGGACACTATGAAGATCTGTGGTAGTGAACAACGTTCTGCTATAGATTAATTACATTGATAACCTCTCCATACTTGGCTATAACTTGACATATTTTATCAGTTTTATTGTTGATGTTTATATCTGGATTATGAACACGAATCTTTATACTTAGCTAATTTTTTTTTTTTCTGATTTCTTCATTCTTATAGAGAACCTCTCATCTGATTCCACTGTCTCCAGCCCAAGTGCCCTGAATTCTCCAGGGGTAGGAGTTGAGGGCTTGAATCGTAGGAGGAAGAAACGCACCAGCATAGAGACCAACATTCGTGTGGCCTTAGAGAAGAGTTTTGTGGAGGTCAGAAATACTTAACTTCTCATGACCATGGAATTATACTATCATTAGAAACTGTCAATGGTAAAAGATTAACCTGTCTGCCTCTACTTTCATGGGCACATAACATAATAGAGAAAAGAAGGCACAGTAAGTTATTCACACTGGCCAGAAACAGTGCTTCAAAAGAAACCATGGTCACATCCACATGAGCATTAGTTGTTAGAGAGGTGGCTGAAGGATGTATAGAAATTAGTTCTATAGACTAGAAAAGGTAGGAGAAAAACACTTCAAGCAGAGGCCTGAAGGGAGAAAGCATGGACTATACCAGGAGAAATACTGTAATTTAGTTGACTGAATTCTAATAGCTGTATACCTAGGATGACAGTTTAGGAGCAGAACATAAGACTTTGAATGTTAGGTTGTGAAGTTCATGACAGATAACTCACCTGTCAGTTTTGTCTGGTTTTGAGTGGAGGTGCTAATGAATATCATTCATAATCCAAACTTCCAACAAAAATCTGTATGTTACATGGAATCAGGAGTCTCTCTTAATTCTGCCTCTTACTAATTGTGTGATGGGGCAGGTCACTTGATTATAGAAACTAAAGTCCATGCATCTGTGAAATACCTTCTTTCCTGCTGCACAGGCACATTATACAGTCCAAGTTAGATAGTATGTGTGAAGCACTGAGAAACTTTGTAAATTCCTAATAATATATAAGGTTGTCATAGTATTTTATGAACTTAAAGATTAATAGACCTTAAAATGAAAAATATACACATATTTAATATAAGCCTAATAAATACAATGTTTGTTAAAACTTTGTCTACAGTGTTTTAATAGTTATCCCAGTTATCATTTTTTAAACTCACTTTTCCCAGCAATTAAACCAGTTGTTGAAGTTATTCCAGAGCTATAGATATAGTGCAGATGTATAACATTAGCCTGTCATATACAAGGTCCTGAATCTGTAACACCAAAAAAAAAGTCCAAAGTTGGGTTTTATTTTTTTTCCTTCAGAATCAAAAGCCTACCTCGGAAGAGATCACCTTGATTGCTGAACAGCTCAATATGGAAAAGGAGGTGATTCGTGTTTGGTTTTGTAATCGCCGCCAGAAGGAAAAAAGAATCAACCCACCAAGCAGTGGTGGGACCAGCAGCTCACCTATCAAAGCAATTTTCCCCAGCCCAACCTCACTGGTAAGAATGGACATTGAGGTACAAGCTCAAGGGCTATTTACAGTTTTACAAATAGCCAATTGAATTTATTTCATAAACAGGCTCCATGTTGAATAAATGTATCTAAATGGCCTTAAGATGTCCCAAAGTGATGAAATCACATGTTGTTCACCCAAGAACTTTTTTAGTTTACCTTTGTGTGTGTTTGCATGCATGTGTGTCTATGTGCTAGTATTGTAGCTTGATCATAGGGCCTCTCACTCTTAGAGTTTATGTTCAAAGCCAGTGCTCTACTATATCTCCACTTCTAGCTTTTTAGTGGTTAATTGGAGTCTCATGGATTTTCTTGCCTGGGCTGGCTTTGAACCAAGATTGTATCTCAGCCTAGGATTATAGTAGTGAGAGATCAACCATGGCTTTTTGTTTTGTTATTTTCTTTGAGATAGGAGCTGTGTAGTTCAAGCTGGCCTCACAGATCCACTTGCTTTGCTTTCTGAGTGCTGGGATTACAAGTATTCACCACCCTGCCCAGATATGTCCCTTATTTTTTAAAGTGAACAATTTGAATTCTTTCCTATTCCATTGCTTTCCCATTATTTCTTTCTGGTATAGTTTATTAGGCTATTTCATAACTATGTTAGTAAGTTTATTGCTGATTCCAGTTATCTCAAAAATTGTTCAATCCTAAAGCCGAATTTGTTCAGCCATTTGACAATTGACAGCCAATTTCCAGATAAACTTAGGTCTGATATTTAGACAGTCATCTCAGATCTTTACTCAAAGACATATGGTACTTTCATATTGACTAACTTCTGCTATCTGCTTTAGAATGTTATTTATACATTGAATAGATATGTCCTAGTCATGTGACCCAATTTTTAGGACCATTATAGATATGACTCTAATGATGCCAGGTTTCAAAAGATGAGGATTAGTTTTTAGTTTTGTTCCTGTTTTCTTGTTGTTGATATCTTTTTAATTCAATTTGATTTGAATATTCCATAGTGCAAAATTTTTTTAACTCATGTCCAAATTTAAAGAACAGATTTTAATCATGAAGTTTGTAAGATTGTAGTTACGGTAAAGATTGGATAGCAGTTCTTTTTTATGCATGTGCCTGTCTTGTATTTTAAACTTAATTGTACTAGATAGAAAGCAGTAGTTTTTACAAAACTGTAGAAATATTTTGTTTATTTCAGAAAGGAACTTAGTTTTTAATGTATCTCCTTATAGTCTTTCTATACAAACCATTCATTAAAAAACAAAAGAAAACAAAACTGGGCACCAGTTCTCATGCCTGTGATCCTAGCTACTTTGGAGGCTAAGATCCAGAGGATTGAAGTTCATAACCATCCTGGACAGAAAAGATTGTGCATGAGACCCCATATCCAGAACAACCAGCCAGGCTTAAGGTGTGAATCAAGGCATCAACCAAGCAAGTAAGTCAGCTGAGCAATCTCAAGAACTTGAGTTCTAACCCTAGTGCTGGCCAAAAAAAAAGGGGCACAAGTAAAAGAAATCATATTTTTGTTTAGGTAAAATTGATAGTGTACTATTTCTTCTACTGACCTAATATGGATCTGAGTCAACATAATTGAAACTTATGCATGTAAAGTTTTGATTATAAGCACTTTGTGCATATTTTTCATTTATGCCCTCTAGGTGGCAACCACACCAAGCCTTGTGACAAGCAGTACAGCAACTACCCTCACAGTCAACCCTGTCCTCCCCTTAACCAGCGCTGCAGTGACTAATCTCTCTCTTACAGGTAAGCAGCAACTAACTACACAGCTGTTAAGCACATGGTAAGCCATTGATAGGTTTCTATTAGAATCTGCCATTAAAATGTGAGTCTAGACTCTACTGGAAGATACATACTGTTGGTTTTAAAAATGTATATATGTGGGGCTGAGGAGGTGGCTCAGTGGTAGAATGCTTGCCTTGCATGCATGAGGCCCTGGGTTCAATTCCTCAGCACCACATAAGCAGAAAATAAAAGAAGCCTGAAGTGGTGCTATGGCTCAAGAGGTAGCGCACTAGCCTTGAGCTGAAGAGCTGAGGGACAGCGCCCAGGACCAGAGTTCAGGCCCCATGACCAACCAAAAAAAAAAAAAAAAGTATATATGTATGAAACTTGAACTTCAAATTTTCAAGTAACTTTTTTCCATACAAACTTTCAATGGTGGTGGTTTTCATCAAGGAAATATCCAAATTCACAGTTCTAGTTAATTTACATGCTTGACCTTTGCCTATCACACCCAACATAGAAGGGTTTCATCTGTACCTTGTAAACATTCCCTCCACCTGAAATTTTATCCAGTTCTTGGTCTCATTTAGGTAAAGTATTCTAGCTTCTCTACCAGTTCATCTTAGAAATATTTTCTTCCCCAGGAAACTGATCCTTTTGGTAGAAAATTCCCCAATATGTAGAAAATGTTTAGCATTTGTCATCAAATATTTTCTAATGATCCATAATATATAAGATATGCTTTAATTATCTACCAGGTTGATTATGGTGCTAGTAAGCCATTTGAGAAACTTGTGATATTTCATGATCAAATTTAATCTAGAATTGGGGACTTTGATTTTCTTCACTTATGTTTTAAGTTCCTAATATTTTTGGCTATATGCCCTTACAATAACATGCTTTATATTATGTTACTTTTCTAAGTTCTTCAAATTTTCCATAATACTTCTTTTCAATAAACAACACTTTTATTTTTTTTTCCTGTCTTCTTTTGAGTGTTAGACCTCTGATAAGAAAGCAATAGACCTTTCCTTCTTTCTATAAAACAGACATATACACATTGGTAATAAAATTTAAGGAAGTTCATAGATTATAACCTCCAGGAATCCTTCACTCCCTTAAGCCTTAAGATTTCAGATTGAAAGGGATTTGAACTCAGACTGTTGCCCACTAGGTAAGCTTTCTACCAGTTGAACCATGCCATCAGCCCTCTTTGCTTTATTTTTTTAATAGGTTCTGAAGATTTTGCCCAGGCTGGCCTGGCTTGCAGTCTACTTTCCATATAGATATGCTGACAGGCACCATGCCCAGTTTCTTGGTTAAGATAGGTGGTCTTGTTATCTTTTTTCTAGGTTGGCCATGAACTCTGTTCTCCCAATCTCCACCTCTAGAATAGAGTTGAGATTCTAAGTCAAGGACCACCTCTTCCATATAAAACCACTTTCAGAAGTATGTATAGTATTCATCACTGTATAGTATTCATATAGATAGATATGTAGATAGTATTCATCACTGTAGTGATTATCAGTATTAATAGGCACTAGTAATTTGTTCCTATCTCTGAGGAACTTATTAATGTATAAACTAAGTCACCTGGAAATTAGGAACTAAATCTTAACAAATTAGAAATCATATCACATTAGACCTAAAATAACTATTTGCATAAAAATACCTAATAGTTTAGACATTAAAAACAAATAGCTAAAGCCAGGCATGGTGGCACATGCCCTCAGTCCCAGTTTCCCAGCAAGTTAAAGTTAATCTTTACCCTCACACTTTACTAAAACCTTGAAGATATTTATTCATTCATGCCAATGCTTGCAGTAAAATCTTTCAACTTCCATAATAAGATTTTTTATTTTTCTTTGGAGTAGGTTACATTCATTCTGCTCATATGAGAACTCTGGTAGAAAGAAGGAAAGATCCACTGGCCAAGATCGTGCATGAACAGTCCTTTAAACACTTTATGTTCTTACTGTTTCCTGTTTGTTTATTAGCATCCAACAATTTAAGTTTGAGTTTTTTCCAGGGCTTCATCAAAGTGAATAATCATAGCCTTCCTCTATTGAATGCAGTTGGTTTCTTCACCACCAGTTTTGCCCTTTTTTTCATTTATGCAAGTCTGTCTAAATCTCCTATCTGGTATCTGTCCTCAGACATCATTTGGAATAGAATTAAAGAAACAAATTGAAAACCCATTTCTTCACTCTGCCGTCTCCTAAGAAAAATCCTGTTTGGTTGGTGTGGTCATCTTTATTTTTCCATAAGTGGTTGGCCCACCAAAAGTTCTGGGTAAACATCTGTAGAATAGATACAAGAAAGATCATGACAATATTCCTCTAGGAACACATGTTATGATGTGTGTCAAAACTGTGAACATTCCTCAGCTCTGAATAATCTCACCTAAATGTGCTCTGTTGTCAGTTATTTTTTCCAAAAAGCATTTAATAATGACAAAAGAGTTCATTTCTCAGGAAACCATAACAGTCAGGCGCCAGAGGCTGAAAGATGAAAGGTGATGGTTCAAAGCCAGTCAGAGCCACACAAAACATAGCCACACATGCATGTGTGTGTGTGTGTGTGTATAAGTATGTATACATATATTCAGTGAACAGCAAAAAAAAACAAAAACAAAATAAGTCATTGCCCATCAATGGTGAGTTCTAAACTGATGTAATAATAGACTGATGTATCCACCCAGTGAAATAGTTTGGGCCATAAAAACCATTAAGTTTTGATTGCTGCTTCCACATGGATAAACTTGGAAAACAATACACTGAAGTAAAAGAAGCCAGTTGCAAAATACTGTGTATTGTGTGATTCCATATATGTGAAATGTCCAGAAAGCAAGACTACAGAGACAAAAATCAGATGACAAGATAGGCTTGGGCACACACAGGATAACACTGTGTGTTAAAAGATCATAATATGCTCCTTGATGAACACAGATGCAAAGATCCTTAACAAGATTCTAGCTAACAGAATCCAGAAACACATTAAAAAAATAATACACTATGATCAGGTAGGCTTCATCCCAGAGACACAGGGATGGTTTAACATACGTAAGTCAATAAATGTAATCCAGCATATCAACAGAGCCAAGGTCAAGAATCACATGATTATCGCCACAGATGCAGAAAAGGCCTTTGATAAAATTCAACATTCATTCATGCTAAAAGCTCTGGAGAAAATAGGAATAGAAGGAACATTTCTAAAAACAACAAAAGCCATTTATGACAGACCAATAGCCAATATTATACTTAATGGGGAAAAGCTACAACCAATCCTCCTAAAAACAGGAACAAGGCAAGGATGTCCACTGTCTCCACTCCTCTTCAACATAGTCCTAGAACCCTTAGCCAGGGCAATAAGGCAAGAAAAAGACATTAAAGGGATCCGCTTAGGGAAAGAAGAAGTTAAACTATCCCTTTTTGCAGACAACATGATACTATACCTCCACGATCCCAAAAACTCCATCCCCAAACTTTTAGAAATCATAAGTCACTTCGGCAAAATAGCAGGATACAAAATAAACCCACAAAAATCAGTTGCCTTCCTATACACTGATAATGCACAGGAAGAGAGGGAAATAAAGGGAGCAACCCCATTCACAATAACCTCCCAAAAAATAAAATATTTAGGAATTAACCTAACCAAAGATGTAAAAGAACTATTTAATGAGAACTATAAAAAGTTAAAGAAAGAAATTGCAGAAGACACTAGGAAATGGAAAGACCTCCCATGCTCCTGGATAGGCCGACTTAATATAGTAAAGATGGTGATACTTCCAAAACTAATATACAAATTCAATGCAATTCCTATTAAAATCCCAATGACGTACATCACTGAAATACAGAAAACAGTCCAAAAATTTATATGGAACAACAAAAGACCTAGCATAGCCAAAACAATTCTAGGGGATAAAGACAATATGGGAGGGCTATCCATGCCGAACTTCAAACTCTACTACAGAGCTATAATCACAAAGACAGCATGGTACTGGCACAAAAACAGACCCGAAGACCAATGGAACAGAATAGAAGATCCAGATATAAATCCACAGGCCTACAGCCAGCTGATATTCGACAAAGGAGCCAAAGACATACAATGGAAGAAACACAGCCTCTTCAACCGCTGGTGCTGGGAAAACTGGGCAGCCACATGCAGAAAACTAAAAGTGGACCCCAGCCTATCACCATGCACCAACATCAACTCAAAATGGATCAAAGACCTTAACATTAAACCTGAATCTCTGAAACTACTACAGGACAGAGTAGGAGAGACACTTGAACTAATAGGCACAGGAAGGAACTTCCTGAACAGAGTCCCAGGGTCACAACAAGTTGGAGAGAGACTCGACAAATGGGACTACCTTAAAATAAAAAGCTTCTGCACAGCTAAATCTATCGCAACTAAGCTAGAAAGACAACCAACTAATTGGGAAAAAATATTTACCAGCAATATATCAGACAAGGGGTTAACATCCTGTATATACAGGGAACTCAAGAAACTAATCCCTCCCAAACCTAACAAACCAATTACTAAATGGGCAAGGGAACTAAAGAGGGACTTCTCAAATGAAGAAATAAAAATGGCAAAGAAACACATGAGGAAATGTTCATCATCCCTGGTGGTGAAGGAAATGCAAATAAAGACAACCCTGAGATACCACCTTACCCCAGTCAGAATGTCCCACATCCACAAATCAGCCAACGACAAATGCTGGAGGGGATGTGGAGAAAGAGGAACCCTGTTACACTGCTGGTGGGAATGTACACTTATACAACCACTTTGGAAAGCAGTCTGGAGGGTCCTTAGAAAGCTAAAGATTGACCTCCCTTACGACCCAGTCATACCACTTCTAGGCATCTACCCTGAACAACAGGAACCAATATACAAGGACACGTGCACCTCCATGTTTATTGCAGCACTGTTCGCAATAGCCAGGATATGGAAACAACCTAGATGCCCCACCACAGATGAATGGATCCAAAAATTGTGGTATCTATACACAATGGAATATTATGCAGCCATTAGAAATGACAAAATAATGGCATTTGCAGGGAAATGGATGGAGCTAGAAGGAATCATGTTGAGCGAGGTAAGCCAAGAACGAAGAGACAAACGGTACATGGTCTCCCTGATAAGTGGATGCTAAATCCAAAAGGTTAGGTGATACGATAAAACTAACAGGACTTAAGAAACAAAGAACTCCCGCTCATCTGGTTGAACCACTACTAAATATCCCCATGCTGCTGATCACAAATATGGTATATAACATGTGAACACTGTTATATATTACAGACTGTGATAGACAATTTGCTCCAGGGAAGTTAGAATGAACTTGTGACTTTGAAATTATGTAATCATTTAATCACAATCAAAAAATAAATAAAAAAAAGAACCTCGGGGAAGGGAGGGAGGGAGGGGATGGTAGGGGGAAACAATGGAGGGGGTAACAATGTTCAAGAGGAAGTGTACTCATAACCTCACTCATGTAACTGTAACCCTCTGTATAGTAGCTTTACAATAAAAAAAAAAAATCATAATATGTAGTGTGCTGATGGTTGTACAAGCATGCCAATTGATAAAATCATTGAATTTTATACAAATTAGGTGAGTTTAGCGGCACAGAAATTGAATTTCAGTAAAGCTGTTTAAAAAAACAAAAAAACTACAATAGAGCTAGGCACCAGTGACTCATGACTGTAATTCTAGCTACTCAGGAGGCTAAAATCTAAGGATTATGGTTCAGAATCAGCCCTGGTAGGGAAATCCATAAGACTCTTAACTCTAATTAACCACCCTAAAAAAGTTGGAGGTGGAGCTGTGGATCAAGGAGCAGAGTGCTAGTCTTGGGCACAACAAAGTTAGCCCCCAAGTCCTAAGTTCAAGTGCCAGGACACACACACATGCGCACACACACACGCGCACACACACACACATCAGTAAATTCAAGAGAGGGTACTAAGCACTCTCTATGTGTATGGTTCTAACTTCCCTTCTTGCCCTGTGAAAAGCATGGTGGTATTTGTGGATAAAGACACTGAGACTCAGCAAGCCAAAGTTCTCTGATCAAAGTTGCCCATGTCATTAAGTTGCCAAGAACTAGGGTCATAAAATTTGTATATTGGTTAAGACATGATTCACTAGCTAAGAGAATTAAGGATCATGTAGAGTTGTTATAGTACTTATATGACTTTCAAACTGGAGACACTAACAATGAATGCTATGAGGAAACACAACTCAGAATAAAGTCGTGATCTCCTAGTCCAGATTAAATTCATTGATAAGATTTGCCTGAGATATATATGTACCTGTAGGATCTAAAGGAAGATACTGAATGATATGAATGTAGTAATGAAGAGGAAAGAAAAACCATTTTTGCCTTTGCCAAAAGCTTAACGTACAAGATTTTGTAAAATATGGACAATTTCAGTTTCAGAACTTTGAACTGAGAATGTTACTACATGTAAACTTAGAATGGATAGGGTAAGAAATTGGTCAAGTACAGATAGAAAGTACATAGAAATTTGTTAGCAGGTGTGTGTGTATGTGTGTCTGTCTGTCCTTCCCAGTGCTGGCATGCTAGGCAACACTACCCCAATACCTCAACTATTTTCTGTATATTTGGTTGACATTTATTCTTAGTAAAATATGTAACTTTTTAGTTTTTCTTGTCCTTAATTGTTTTGATTTTTCTATGGAGACTACTGAGGAAACCTCTGAATGAAATGGTTCTTGCCTAAAGTTTTCATTTTCTGTTTCTGTTTCTGTTTCTTCCACAGGATAGTTGTCTTGTAACCCATAAATAAGTTTCTCTGGTTGGTTGGTTGGTTGTTTTGAGTAGGAAATTGACAGTGGAAAACCATTCTCTCTCTCTCTTTATCTTTTTTCTATATTGTGTCATTGCTCTTACCTCTTGAAGTAAGATTTGTAGCTTTAGTTTAAAACTTTTTTTTAATGGTTAACTTCCATAGAAACACCAAACTAGGTTGTTAAAAAGGGCAAATTGAGATTTACAGATGACAGATTGTTTCTTTGATTCTGGAATACTGCTAAGTGAAGCCACCATCTTCCAAAACCATTTCATATAGCCATTTTCTAATCCATTTCTCTTTTCAGGCACTACAGACACCACCTCCAACAACACAGCCACCGTGATTTCCACAGCTCCCCCTGCTTCTTCAGCAGTCACCTCTCCCTCCCTAAGTCCTTCTCCTGCCTCAGCCTCCACCACTGAAGCATCTAGTGCCAGTGAGACCAGCACAACACAGACCACCTCCACTCCTTTGTCCTCCCCTCTTGGGGCCAGCCAGGTGATGGTGACAGCATCAGGCTTACAAACAGCAGCAGCTGCCGCTCTCCAAGGAGCAGCACAGTTGCCAGCAAATGCCAGTCTTGCTGCTATGGCTGCTGCTGCAGGACTCAACCCAGGCCTGATGGCACCTTCACAGTTTGCTGCTGGGTAAGGAGCTTTCTCATCCCATTGATACTTGAGAAACAACTAGGGAACCATCCCCAGAATCATTTACGATGAGACTTCATCACCAAGTTAAATGAGAAAAAAAAAAATCACTTTGAAATGGGCTTCTATATGGTCATGCAAGGACCTTGATATTAAGAGTTGAACCTCAGTTTCTGAGCAACCTGGAAAGGACAGTAATCATACCTTTATTCTCACATGAAGACACAGATGACCAGGTACTAAGGACCTCAGTGATGGAACCAGGAAGAGAGCTCACAATTCCTGTTCTTATTTTATGCTTTCTCCATTAAATACTTTTGTGTGCTTTCAAACATGTAGTAGGGAAATTTTAATGTTCATAGTCAAATATAAAAATTTTCCTTTTTTCTGGAGATTTTTTTCTTTTATTTTGGGAGAATAGAATAATTCAAAGAAGAGTTAAAGTGAATGTTAAAGTTTTACATTTTGTGCTAATGATAACTGTGTTTGTGCTTGTAAGCATCAAGGAAAATAGTAACTCTGAAGCAGGAACAAAATCATACAAAGGTATAGGGGAAAATGAAGTTTCCCATATTCTTCCCTAGCTGAAATTTTCTTTTTCTTATCCTTTTGAATATATTGTCCAAACTGACAAGTGTGTCTGCATGGTAATGAAGTGACCCTTCTTTTGGACTTGCAGAGGTGCCTTACTCAGTCTCAATCCAGGGACCTTGGGTGGTGCTCTCAGCCCAGCACTGATGAGCAACAGTACACTGGCAACTATTCAAGGTCAGTATGGTCTTTTCTGTGTGTGCGTGTGTGCATGTGTGTGTGTTTGCGTGTGTGTGTGTGTGCGTGTGTGTGTGTGTGTGTGTGTGTGTGTGTGTGTGTGTAAAACCCATAGATAGTCTTAAGAAGTCAGGACTTGTATACTAATTGCTTTTTCCTGATAGTTTTATCTAAGTAATCACCTGCAATGTAACTCAAGGCAAACTTGGTCCAATCCTTATTCCTGCCTAAGATAGTCATGGATAGGAACATTGTATAATGAGTGAACTAAAGAGCACATCAGTCACGTTTCCAGGATATTTTTCATTCTTGTGAGGTTCTGCCCTTATTTTTAATTTAATTATTTTGTTTTTTGTTGTCTATGTTTTTACCAGTACTGGGGCTAGAACTCAGGGAGTTGAGCTCTTAGCCTTTTCTCTCAAGGCTGGTACTCTATCAGTTGAGCCTCACATCCAGTTCCAGGTTCTGCCCTTACAGTCCTCATCAGTATAGAGCATATATTTCTCTTGGATTTTAGTGTTTCTTTCCAAGCCCATTTGGCTCATGTCAATCTTTTAGTATGTTATTCAAGGTGATAGTCTTCAAATATAATGAAGTCTGCTTTGTTTAACATCTAAGCTGTGTCTGGATTGTTAGGGAGGGGTAGTGTTGTTTTGGAGCTTATTTGTGTGTGTGCTTGAACTCAAGGGTCTGGGCACTGTCGGAGTGCTTTTCTGTTCAAGGCTAGCACTCTACCACTTGAGCCACAGCTTCACTTCTGGCTTTTTGGGCAGTTAACTTGTAGTTAATTGGAGATAAGAGTCTAACAGACTTTACTTCCCAGGCTGACTTCAAACCATAGTCCTCAGATCTCAGCCTCCTGAATAACTAGGATTAAATGCATGAACAGCCAGTGCCTGGTGAAGCTGTGTATCTAAATATGATTACTGTTATGTGAGTCAGAGAACAATCACATTATTAATGAACTTTTTTTTTTCTTAAATCAGACTTTGTGCTTAAACAGGAGTTCTCCAAACCAAAATTAAACTGTTAGGCTTTTGTTAAAATTAAGTGTGTCATGGATGTATCTCTAACAGAGTATTACAGAGAACGTTAAATTACAGACAAACCCAGCTCCTATTACAGACTGTCTTACATTAAGTTGACTTTCTGATATACTGTGTTACAAGTATTGATGATTAGTTCTGTAAAGCTGCTGTTTTAGAAAGATTTCTTTAGAATAAGGTTTGTGAAAGTTACTTTTTCTCCTGCATTAGAGTGTATCTCTGGGCCTTGAGGATAGTACAAAGGGAAAAATGCCCTCCCCAGAGCATGAGTGACTTAGAGACATTCTCTGCAAAGATCTAGAATTGGTCTATGACCCTTCTTAGCTTAGAATCTCAGAAAACTTCAAGTTTCACCAGTCTCACTATTCTCTATGGTTCCACTATACATTATGTAAGAAATCAACCAGATTTTTTTTATTATTATTTTTTTTTTTTTTTTTTTTTTGGTCTGTCGTGGTGTTTGAACTCTGAGCTTAAGGTCTGTTCCTGAGTTTTTACCCTCAAGATTAGCACTCTACCACTTGGAACCACACAGTAACTTCCTGTTTTCTGGTGATTAATTGGAAATAAAGAGTCTCACAGACTTTTCCTCCTTGGGGTAGCTTCAAACCACAATCCTCAGATCATAGCTAGGATTACAGGCATGAGCCACTAGTTCCTAGCTTCAACCAGATTTTTAAGGCCATTTAAGAAGCCCTAAAATTTGGGCATGAGATTATGCCAGTAGGGGTATTTGGGAATGTTGGCAAGTAACAGAACAACCTATTAAATGAAAGTCTTAATTATATTTTTACTGTTATCTTCAAATAATTATACAAGGGATTACAGTTTAACAAGCTCAGTACAATGATAATTATTTTAAATAAAATTTTGATGATGCCTTCTATGGGCAAGCATCATAGAAAAATTTTCCCCATTAACTACTAAATCCTGTCAGTAGGTGACTCATGGGGCTTCTACATTATCATGTCTGATTCTCTCCTGCCATAAGGTCCTCGTTCTTCTTTATACTGGTCATAGAAATTAAATGTTTTACCTCAGGAACTAAAAAAAATAATCTTGGCTTTAATTTGTTGATATAATTTATCTTGCGACTACACCCTTTTTGGAAATACAGTTTAAAGGAAGGTGATGGTGCTTAAATTTGTTAGTTGGTTTGATTACAGCTAAATATAGTTTTAAACTTCAATTCCTTTGGCTAGTTTATCTTTTATAAGGTTTTTGGTTTTGGTTGTGCCAGTACTATGGGCCTCATACTCTGACTCAGCTTTTTGCTTAAGCCTGGCATTCTACCATTTGATCCATGCCTCTCTCCACATTGCTAGTTTGTCTTTTGAAGGGAGTGTTTGAAATTGACAGTCTTTATTGAAGACAAAATTATTGGATTTAATAAATATTTCTAGGTAAATTATGTCAACTTGGAATTTAAAGGGAGAGACATGACTGATTCTTTAGACAGTTTTACAGCTCTCCCCATTAGCTTGGTTTGTTTAAACAATCATTTGTCATCTTTAAACTTTAGCTGGTATCAGTATAGCATATAACTGGAAGAAAGTAATCAGTGAAGGATTGTACTTTGTGTGGGAAGATTCAAAAGAACTATGATGGTGTGTTATTTGGCTTCTCCAGAATGATGTTAATATGCTCTTTCCTGCCTGTTTTGGGGGATGTTTTTGTCTATAGCTCTTGCTTCTGGTGGCTCTCTTCCAATAACATCACTGGATGCAACTGGGAATCTGGTATTTGCCAATGCAGGAGGAGCCCCCAACATCGTGACTGCCCCTCTGTTCCTGAACCCTCAGAACCTCTCTCTGCTCACCAGCAACCCGGTTAGCTTGGTTTCTGCTGCTGCAGCCTCCACAGGAACCTCCACACCTGTAGCCAGCCTTCACACCTCCTCCACCTCAGCTGAGTCCATCCAGAACTCTCTCTTCACAGTGGCCTCTGCCAGTGGAGCTGCTTCTACAACCACCACCGCCTCTAAGGCACAGTGAGCTGGGTGTGAAGCTGGGCTACCATGCGCCTTGTCACCTACAGCATGATTGGGCTGTCAGCCAGTTAATGAACTGAAAATGTGATGGCTTCCTTTCGCCATCTTGTGCAGTCAAGGTAGAAGAGAAAAATAGAAATACCAGAAAAAAAAGAAAGGATGGAGACAGGACAACATTTGCCTAGTTTTATAATAAAACACTGTCTTTTCAGGATTGCTTCACGGATTGGAAAACTTTCTAACCAAATATTTAAAAAAAAAAAAAAAAGGAAAAGAAAAAATAAATGAAAGGACTACTTCTCATTTCCAGCAGTCATGATGACAAGTTAAGGTGGGTTACAAATTCCAAATAGGAGAGAGATTTCTTGTTTGTTGAAATTACTTTTTTTCTTAAAAAAAATCATTTTTATAGGTCTGTTGTACAGGCCATTAAGTCATAACAAGGTGTTTATAATCATATCAATTGTGTTGGGGGTTCCTTTCTTAACTGGTACAATTTAGGCAGGCCTGTATTACTGTATCTCTATTGTAATTGTTGTTTATATATATATATATATACATACACACATACATATATATATACATATATATATGTATATATATATATATATAGTTTGGACATGTTTATCTCTTGCTCCTGGATCCTATTTCAGTGAGCTCCCACACTGTGGCGAGGGGGGTTTGAGGGTAAGGGGAGACTTGCATTCTTAACTGCGGGGAATGTTCTTGCTGGTTTCCTTATCCTTGATGACTCTTACAGAGGTGCTAGAAAATTATTTTCTTTTGCCACTTATGCAAGAGGCTTGGTGCAGAAGCTGAAGGCAGTGTGTGCAAACACTCCTACTCCACACATGCCCCTCCCCCATCAGGTGGTGCCTTTGGAGCACTTTTGTGTAGGAAGGAATTCCTGCTGAACTGTAGCTCTCACTCACCCCCAAATCATTGAACGACCCTTAGGCCCAGATCCTGTGGTGCAACAGTGCTGCTTTCTGCTACTTTGAACGAGAACAGCTGTACATGTTGCAGGGTAGGATTTGGTTCCGAAGAGCAAAGACTACTGCAGACACCTAACTTGGTGGTTCTCCTAATTTCTTATCTCTAAAAAATGTTCCTACTGTTTGTGTGTTTGTTTGTTTGTTCCATTTTATGAAAGTTTTTACCCCAACTTTTTTGCTTACTTGGAAAAGAACAAATTGTCATTGAAATTGGGAAACGTTTCCTTTCCTTGTTCTGTAAAGGAATTCTTCTAGACTATATCCACCAGTGGATATGCATCCAAAAGAAGTCAATAAGAAGAGCCTGAGGTTACCTGCTACCTTTTCCTGTAGAGAGCTACAGACTCCTTTTCTACTGGATGGCTTGTAAATTTCTTCTCAGTTCTCTGACTAAAGGAGGCACTTATTGGCCAGGCGTAGGATCTGTAGAACCTCTGAAGGAAGACTGAGCCAGAGTTTGCACACAGCTTATGTGTCTCCTGGTTTGTCTCTGATGTTCCTATTAGGAAGCTCAAATGACAAAACACCCCTCTCTGTAGTTGATGTAAAAAATAATTTGCTCCTCTAATTGTTGTCAGGGTGTTCCTAGACTACATTAATGAGCCTATTGAAAAGAAGAGTAATGAGAATGGATGAAGAGGAATGAGGGTCATTTAAAAATTAAATCCTCCCCCCTTTTTTTGCCAATATCCTATTATACTGTCTGTACCAAAATGTTCCCAAAAGACTGGACACTGTAATGCAACTCATGTGTGTTCCCTTGCTTATTAGTGTTTAAGGTTCCCATTTGGTGTCTGGAGGTACTTGCTTAAATCTCTGGTGGTCTGCACTTTGTCTTCTTTTTTGAGCTGGGGGTTGAGAGAACCTACAAGTGACTTTCCTTCTGATTGCTTGCTTTATATGTCCACAAGGGAGCTTGGATTTCGTATATTTGTCTCTCTACCATTGTTCAGAATGGCAGTCACACAGACACAAATGTGTACCGTTGTTTGTGATTCAAGTGGGAGACAGTCTTAAGATTAGAAGTCAGAAACATTTTAGGCCCCTTTTAAATTTTTCTATTGTTCTTTTTGTCTTGTTTTATTTTTCAAAATATTTATCAATCCCCTAAATTTCCTCTTACTACTTTCCCTAAAATTCCCCTAAAATCAGTGAACTGCAAGCAGGGAAACTAACAGATATCCACCTTTTTGTGTGGTATGATTTTTTTAATGTTTTTATTTTTGTTTTTTGTTTTGTAAACTAAGCTTGAACCAAAGTCAATTTTTAGCAAGCTGCTGTACTAATGGACTAGTTTATAACGTGCAGTTCAGACACATTGAGGAGATAGATGCTACTGACAATTTCTTTTTCATTTATCTTTATTTTATGTAAAAGTTGCTGCTTGTTTTTAATCTTTTATGTTGTTAAATTGTAATAACCTCTGGGCAGACATTACCTTGATTTTTTTATTTTTTAGTTTGTTTAGGTTAGGGTGTACATAGAATGGTGTATCAGTTACTAATTACTCTCCTCTCCATCAGCTTTTTCTCTATTATAGTTTAATCTTTTATCCTGACTTAACATATCTTACTTTAATTTGTGCAAATAATATTAGGACTATTGATAATACTGTAGCTGCCCACAGTAGTGAGTCCCTCCTTTGGGAGTGGAGGAAGTTAGGAGAAAGCATTCAGGGAGGGAAATGCTGATACCCCACCATACTGGATTAGAGGTTATAGCATTAATTTCCCAAAATTGCTACCAAAGGAAGTGTCAAATCCCAAGAGACTCCAGCCCAGTGGGTTAAGAAGAAGGATAAGAAATACTGTTTTGTTCTTGATTTCTGTATGGTTAAAATGATCCCTTTCCCAAAGTGATCTCTTAGTCTTTCCCCTAACTCTGCTTTCCAGTGAGTTTGGGAAAGGAATTCTGCCTTTTTTTGTGAATTATTTAATGAGCATGGACTTCTAAATCGCATAAAAATCAGTTGAGAAGAAGAATTAAGTCCCTAGACAAAGATAACTTTAAATTTTCTTCTCTTCTATCACTAATTTAAAAGTAAATTGTGAAGTGAAAGGTACTTTTACACATGTACACATGAAACACTAATATAGCTTGTTGGTAGGTTTTTAGTTTAAAATCAGTTCCCATCACCATCCTACTGATTATATTGTTTCATGAACATCTTACTCCTTTTTTATTTTACATCATCTTTCTTAAGGAAAATTCATCTCAAATGTGGGTGTTTGTTTATTTTTTTTGGTGTTTTGGTTTTGGTTTGGTTTTTGTGTTTTTAGTTGAATGAGCTATCTCCTAAGCTAAGGTACTCAGATATAACTTTAGTCACCATTTTTGGGGGAATCTGCAAACTAAAGGGGCCATTTGACCAAAAAGTGTTTGGCAACGTTTCCACATTTCCAAAAGGAAATAATTCTTGTTTCTTTCCCTTGACACTTATGCAAGTTTTATCTTACCCCTCAATTTGGTGAACACATATTAAAGCCAAAGACTAATTTTGAATAATTTATAGGGATACTATATTTGCCCATAGTAATGGGCCCTCCCTAGGGAGTGGTGAATGTAATTATTTAAATCCTGCTTATCATAAGCAATGCAATTTGGTCATGAACTTTATGTACCCTGTGTAAATCTAAAGGATGGAGTAGAAAGACCTAAGAAAGGGCTTCTCATCAGAACAATACTGTTCTAAGAAATAAGTGTGCTATTAATTTAAATGTTTCTTAAGTTTTATAGGCAGTTTTTTAGAATTAAGAAAAAAAATTGTGCCCATTAACTGATACAATACACACTTTTATTTATTGTCAGAAAGGTCAATACCATCCCAGTTTGTTTAAGTTGTTACTCAAGAATGGAACCAAAGGAATCCAACTTTCAATTTATATATGACCCATACCTATTTATACTTTGTGGTAGCTTTATTAGAAATTAAGGATTTTTTAAAAAGGGAAAATAGCAAAAGATTTTTAGTGTGATTATCTTGCTAATTTGTTCTACGTTATTCATTTGTTGGGGGGAAAAGCACAACTATACCTCTAATGTTGTTTTGTTCATTATTCTTCATTTACTTGGAAAGTTAGGAGAAATATTCTTTGTATTATCCAAAAGCACAGATAATTGCTTATCAGAGTATTTCAGTTCAGTCCAGTCTTTAACATTAAATTATGTTTCAGTTGCTGGAAAAAGATATATTCACAAATTTAGGAAATTTGTGTCTATACAAGTGATGCAGCCAGAACAATAAACAATAAAGTTTACTTACAGAGTAAACCTTACAATTCATAATCTAAAGTTCTTCCAAAACCATACCATCATCACAAATATTTCTTGTCCAAGAAAGAAATAACATCCTTGAGCTAGGAAGACAGAAACGCCTTTCCTTTCTTTCCTAAGAAAGGAAAAGTGCTGTGTATATGCAGAAGACAGGGCCTCTTGCTGGCAGCCTGCTGAGGCCCTGGCTCTGAATCTCTTCACAGACTAGCATGCCACATGAGAACCTTTGGTAAAGAAAGACCTCAACAATTCATTATTATCAATGTTATCTCATTAAATTGGCATCTAAACTATTTATTAGAGCTGAAAAATGTTAATTTAAAAAACAAAATGACTGCCACTACTGATAGGAGAAAAAGACTAAAAGACCTGAAGCTTAAAATTACCCTTTGGGCAGGAATTGTTGGATTAAGTTGTTCATAACCATTAGAATTCACTTTGTGTGTGTGTGTGTGTGTATGTGTGTGTGTGTGTGTGTGTGTGTGTGTACAGCATTTATTGTGTCACATTGTTTATATAATCATAGCTGTTTGCATAGCTGTTTCCAAATAATTTTCAGGCAATTTGTAAGTGGTAAATCTTTCTTTGTTTTAATCATCAGCTTTAAGATGGTAGAAAATTCCTCTTTGTCATTCCTCCAAGAATAATAATTTAAGATCAGCTATTTGATAGGTTTGCATGAACAGCACCCACAATACAAATACAGATATGTACAGAAATAGGATAAATAAGTTTCTTTCATCCTTAAAGGTTGGTAGGAATTCTGTTCAGCTCCATCCTTTCCTTAATCCAAGAGATTAAGTGAGATGCCCTGGAATTTTGTAATAACACTTGAAAGGATTCTACCAGAAAAGCAGGGAAAGTATTTCTCAAGAGCTATCTAGTTTGCACCCAGTTTTCTATGAACTCTAGTTTTCTTCTAAGCATTCTTATTCATGAAGTAGTCCTTTATTTTGGCTCTTTTGTCCTTAGCCTTTGCTAAAAAGTAGTGAAAGTGAGTAACTTTTATATTGATTTTGTAATCTAGGTCTTCTTTCTTTGTGTCCTTCCCTTACTCTCTTTAAATGATGGTACCTTAATCTATGAGGATAATGCTTGTGGGTAACAGCTAGTTTCTGACACCTTCATAAAATACCTCAGCATAGCTTAACATTGTTGCAGAACTGGTTTTAAACTAAAAACCAAATAAGTAAAAGAAAAAAAATATAAATAGTGGAAATAATTCTAGTTGTAGTATTTAGTTGAACTAATGTTTATTATGATTGATAAACATGATTGATGCTGTATGTATTTGGGATCTTGTTTATAGGTTACAATTTATAGGGTTAGGGAGGGTTAAAGTTGAGGGAAAGAAGTTGATTATGTTAGAACAAAAATGTTGCTCGCCTGTCCTTGTTTTTCCTTTTATCTATCTTGCCAAAGGAAATTGGATATTCCCTATGATTGGGCTTGGGATTTCTTTTGGCCTTTCTAATCTGCATCACAGTGTGTGGTGGCATGCAGGTGGCATATGGAATGTCCCCAAGGGCCCTTCCTCTGGCTTCTGTGCTCCCCAGACTTGCTGGCCTCTCCTAATGATTCATTACCTCTGTACATAGCAGAAGCTTAGGGAAAGAATGATTGTGTGCATAGCTCTGTGTGTGTGTGTGTGTATGAGAGATGTAGAAACAAATAGAAAGGTACTGATGAATTTGGAGAGGAACAGAGAGGTGATTGTTGTATCAATATAGAAAAATTAAAGTGAAACAAGTTATTTTTGTCACCTTTTATCATATTATTTAATGTTGTATGAATAGCCCAACCTTAATTGCTCTTCTCATACCAAGGTTAGTTTTTCTAGACCAAAAATACAAGTAGAAGAAAAGTGAAACCAAAAAGTTGAAAGCTAACCTGGTCACTTCACACCTGTCATAAGGTATACCTGTAAGGACTAATTGGTTAATGGAATGGAGGACAGTATTGTGTTGGTGGGAATGTGAATGAGAAATGGTGCCGGTTGAAGAAAAGTTAAGAACCCTTCCTACCCATACTTTGCAGATATAGATTCTATCTCCAGAACAGCTATTTTTTTAACTAATTGATCCATCTCACAAAACTTCAGTGGGATTTGGTTTAGATACCAAAGAACTGTTACGCTGTCACTTACCTTTATTTTTTCAAAACAGGCAAATAGTAAAGGACTGAATTTTGGAAAAGCTTTACCTTGTCTTTTCTTCCCTTTTTCTTTCCTCTACTTTTTGAAAGAAGTCTTACTGGTCATTTTGGCTTTGGAAAAAATGAATTGATGTTGTTTCACTCCTGTGGCGCTATCTAAAGATGGGTAGAATTGCTCACTGGAGCACTGATGTTCTTGAAATTGCTGAGAAACTTTGGGAAAGCAACAAAGAGGAGCAGAACTCTCCTCTCGAATGCTTATCAGTAAAACCAGTCCAGCCTTTTTTAGTTCAGACAATATTTAGATGTGCTATCTCTGTCTTTTGTAAAGAAGCATTTTCAAGACCAGGATTACATGGAAAACCAAAAGATCTTCCCTTCTTCTCCTGTAGAGCTCTTGTGTTTCCCAGTGGTTTTATGATGTGGGCTCTAGGAAATTGAGTAGTTCATTGTTTAGGTATACTATTGATAGAACACAGAGAGGAAGAGAGGGAAAAGACATTGCTCTCTAATATATGTTGCAGAACTTCATGAAAGCTTTACTAATAATCTTATTGTTCTGACATTATATAAAAGTAGTATTAATGTGTGACTTCCAAAGCATTAGGTAGACTTATAAGAAGATAGAGATGTTAAAGATCAGAGCACTTGAAATAAAGGCAAGGTGTACATCAAGAACCCTTTGAACAGGAAAATGAAGCTCCCTGAAGCCTGGGAGGAAAGATGAGGTAATCATTCTTTCTACGTCCAGAAGTCTGCCTACACTGTGCAGGGCTCTAACACCCCATGCCAGTTTTCTAGTTTGAACCCAGACACTATCAGAAAGTTAGAGCCTCCCCGCCCCAAACTAATATACTGACCCAAAAAAAAAAAAAAAAAGATTGCGGTCTGCTGCAGAGTTTTCCCATGTTTTCTTTAATTTTATTTGCTCATTGCTGTTTTAAGTTGGCCGCCACCTCACCAAAGCAGCTTAGGGCTTCTTCTGTAAATTGGCAGTGGCATTGAATTCTCCAACATTATATCCCAAAGTCTACAAGTAGAGAGCCAGATACTGTGCTGTTGTTGAAATGCAATATCTGAACACTGTCTTCATTAAAATTGTGATCTCTTGAATAAAAATGTCCAGAGGCAGTTCCCATACAGCCTAATAGTGTCTCAAAGTCTGAGAAATATAGGAAATGAAATGCACTTTCAGAAGCTAAAATGACAGCGTTTGTTAGGAATGCTGCAGTTGTGGGCTAGTGGTGGGGGTGTGTATATCACTTCATTCTTACAGGAGTCTGCAGAAGGCATGCACTTTCTAAGAATGAAGTGGACAAGTGCCCACCTGCAAACAATTGCAGAAAAGAAAGGGAGGAATCACCACACTGCAACCAGATTAGAACTTTGGCATTCTAGAAAAGTAATAGTGTGTTTCCTCTAGAATCAGATGTGGGGGAGAACAAACAGACTTCTTCCAGCTTCTTACCTCTGCTTGCATGGGCACGTGTGCATTACTCAGTCCACTGGTGGTCTCACTCTGCAGAAGACACCTTCCTCTTCCCAGAGAAGACCATGCATGGCATTCCCCTTGTCTGTGGTAGTAGGGAAGACTAGGTGAGTAAGTGTGAGCTTTTATGCCCACCACACGTCCAGGAGCTGTTGTATACCTCATTTCTAACTCATGACTGAGTAACTTGCTTTAACTTCCTCTCACCCTACAGAGTTGCCAAGTCTGCCCTCCTTCCTTTCCCTCTTCTTCAGTAAAGTTCAACTCTGGCCTATAGCATCATGAGACCTGTTACCTGGGGTGGGACCCCCTAAGGCCTCTGAATGTTGCTGCTTTACAGCTACTGCAAACTGAGGGCAAATTGCAATCTTCTGTTTCTTTTTATTGCTAGGGGTCTTCACAGGTCTCTTACCATTGGCTTCCTTCCACCTTGCCTTAGGGCTGCCAGCTACCCTTGCCCATATTTCTCACTGCTGGCCACACATAATCTTCTGTCCTTACATTTTTCCCTGGTGGGGTAGAGACTAATCCTTTCCCTTGAGGCCTTTGAGTTCTGAGCATTTTCAGCACTTGAGGTAGAGGGGAAGACACCAAAGACTCCTTTAAGCTAACTGCTTCATACCTATTTCATTTTTTTCCCTTTTACATCACCAAAAAAAATTCAACTATTTAAGTTTATTATTATTATTACTAATGTTATTATTTGACAATCTTATGTCCAGTGGGCTCTCTAGAAGCTGAATCCCAGCCCTTTCACCTTTTCTTTGAATGTAGCTTTCTACCTTCATTTCCCACCCCCAAAGTTGAAAAAAAATGCTTAGCCAGGTCATAATACTGCTGCTATAAGCCAGGGGAGGGTGGTTTCTTTGTTTTGTTTTGTTTTTTTTATAAAATTTCCAGCCAAAACCAAAGATTTCTTAATGATTGTATAAACTCAAAACAAACAAAAAAACCAAAGAAAAGGGAAGTCTTGAGCATCTATCCAGTCTGTGGTGTCCTGGCACTTGGCAGCATGAGGCCAGGAACAGGTTGGGGTCCTCCAGCCAGATAGGAAGGGCACTCCAGCTGTGCCCATGGAGTTTTGTGCATCTGTATGCTTGGGAGCTTTGGCCCTCACCAACTTGAAAGCATGCACAAAACAAATTGGCATTTAAGATTTTCCAAAATGAAACCCCATTACCACCAACACCCATCTGACAACAAACCAGGGTTCCCACAGGGACAAGGAGCTGGGAGCTGCCGCTGGATGTGCCACGGACTCCATAGAATGGGGAAAGCTGAAGACACTGGCACAACGATTGGCTGCTCTGGTGGGTGCTTTCACTCGGGCTGGCAGACATGCCAAGGGGCCCTTCTGAGCCTTTCTCTCTTTTCCTTTACTGGAACTGCTTGGAGTGGCTGTCCTGTTTGTGAGAAAACCTACAGAATGATTATCAAGCTTTTCATTTCTCTTTATTGTAATTTTATTTGCTTTTTGCAGCACCACTGTGCAACTATGCATTGTATTTCACAACCTTTTGTGCTAGGTAGATGCCTGTGACTTTTTAACTTGGGGGGTGGGGGGAGTTGAAAATGAAGGAACTTTTTACATGGATCTTTTTAATCTCAGTTGATTGGGGGTGGGGGGTATTTGGTTCTAGGGTCATACAAGCTCTATCCCAAAGCAAAATCCAAATGTTAATAATATTAGCCTGATGCAGATACCAAAGATAATTTCTTTCCTGCAGAACCTTAGACTTGTGTATTAAGTACGATTACCCAGCACTTGCATTAGTCTAACCTCAGTAATTCCAAAGCTTAGATGTATATTTTGGTATATTTCTGGGATATTAAAAAAAAAAAGTCGTTTAACTTCTTGTTTGTTTCAGTGTAATGCTCTTAAAGTCATAGCATGAAAATAATTGAGCTGTCCTATTCTTAGTAGTTTGAAATAATAGTATTTTTGTATGTTTTGGGTGTGTCTATGTATGTATTGACATAACAGTTTTCACTGCCTAGGTGTTCATAATAAAAAAGAAAATGAAAAAGTTCTGATTGTACATACTATTCTATAACAATCCTCTACCAGGTGTCAATTTGGATTGAATAGTCACTGATTACCCACCTGGGATTTGGTTTGGTTTTAAAGAGACAGTGATCGTGTTTTTCTACAGATGCTTTTTTCCTCTGTCTTTAAATGTCTTCTCTTTTGTTCCTTTTTTTCTTCTTCTAATATTGATTCAGGGGTGTTTTTCCACTGTTGTCTAGGGAGCAACACATGGGGAATTAGCCCCATGGCCTCCCAATTTTTGGTTTTATGTGCTTTAAAATGTGAGTTTGAGTTCTTCATGGAAACTTAAGATGTGGTGTAAATGATTTTTTCCTAAATGGTCCAGCAGCTGTACTAAGGCAGTGGCCATGCCTAGTCGTTTCTTGGGGTCCTTTTACATTTCTCCTAGGTGCACTGCAATCTGGGTGGCTATCGTGTAGCCTCACTGCCCCAGAGTACCCGCTTAGCCATTTCCCTTCTGCTGGGAATATTTTCTAAGAATCAACTGGTAACTTGGGAGTGCTGGACCTTGTTATTTGTGCCCCTGGGAAACACGTGTTTTTGTTTTTGGGTTTTGGTTTTGAAAACCTGAAACACAAGCAACTCTATAGGTTGGTAATTAGCTGATGCCTCCTGAGGCCTGGGGAGTTGGAGGGGACTATGAGCGGTGCTGTCTCTGAAAAAGTGCCCTTTATATGATCCCCCTCCTGGGGCCCCCTGAGGGGCTATAGGCTTGGGAGAGATTGTGTCAGGTGCCAGTGAATCAGAATGAAATGGTAGATTTTGTGTAGATGCATTTGTCTGCTGTAATTTTTATATATATTAAACTTACTGTAACTGTACAGTTCATTTCTGTTGTAAAACATCATTAAACCATTTTCCAAATGTTTTCACGTTGTTGGAGTTTCTATGAAGTTGCTGTGTTGGTGTTCTGGGTGCTTCACACACATTCTCAGATGACTCACAGAAGCCTTTTTCCCATCCTTTCAGGGGCCCCAGAATCCCTTTCCCCACCGGGCTTCTTCCTTGTGGCCCCTGGGGAGCTGAGCCACTGCATTTTCCCTACCCCCAGACCCTCAGTGTGCTTTGATGGGACCCTGAGTTGAGTAACAGTAGTCTCCTTCAGTCTAGAGTACTTTACGTGATCAAACACACAGCCCTTGATTGATCCTGCTAGGGAACTCTTCAAAGCTCTTATCTCACTGTGTATGATAGAACTGACTTTGAACTTTCTAAATGCCTTTCTAGCATTTCTTGCCAAGTCCTGAACATGCATTCTCTGTGGGAGCCTCTGAAGGAGGCTGGTCCTGAATTGGCATCTACCTGCTAGGCTTCCTCTGGCTTATTATGCTATTTAATATATCTGGTCTTCATAAATAATGAATTTCTCTTTGAGAGAAAACTTGAGCTTATTGGAGCATGTTGGTAAGTGTACCTGAGAGTCACATACTGATAGGTCTGATGTATGATCCTAAATCTGAAGATGAGAGGGCTGTGGCAAGATGAAGCTGTTGTCATACAGATGGTCCAAGCAAGAAATTAGATACAGAGACCGCCAATGCTTCTAAGTCAAAGAACTCATTCTTTTCCATTCCTTTCTTGTATTTATAGCTTTCATGTTTATTTTTTTAATAATTTTTGGTGTATGTGTATGTGTGGGTGTGTGTGTGTGTGTTGGTTCTGGGGATTGAACTCAGGGCCTGGGCATAATCCCTGAGCTTTTTTGTTCAAGTGGTGCTGAACCACTTGAGTTCCAGTTCCACTTCCAGCATTTTTGGTGCTTAATTGAAGATGAGTCAGATTTTTTCCTTCCTGAGCTGCCTTTGAACCATGATCCTCACATCTCAGTCTTCTGAGTAGGTATAATTACAGGCGTGAGCCACCCGCACCTAGCTAATTTCACAGTTTTAACAAATCTGTTGGGTGGACAGTGGCAGATCTCTCCATAACATATGACTTCAGCAAGCAAAACCCATGTGTCACATCCTAAAGGATGAGCATTGGCATACAAGTAATTAGCTACATGCTAGCTCTTTCCAAGGGCCACACAAGTTCACTATAGGGAAGTATGACCTATGTCCAAAAACCAGGTTAAAGCTGAGCATAATGTAAACAATGAGCTCAGATAAGTAGGTATTGCCCCACAACTGAAACCCCTGGGCCCCCAAACACATCAGTAGTTAATGTGCAGAATGAAGCTCACAGTAATTGGCCATGATGAGATTTTGAAACCCCTCTGAACATGCCACCTTCATCTGCAATGACCATCTATTTGCCTTTATTTCCTCTGCTGTGCCTGGTGTTTATACACCATGAGCATGCAATCTCTCAAGAAAAACTGAATCATATTCTAAGAAGGGGAAAATAAAATGGCGAGAACTCCCATTCTCATTTATGCAATGTATTTCAATTAGGACACAGATCTTTACACTTTAACATGTGTTTAGTGGTGTTTTCCTTGAAGTGAGTTGATAGTTCTTGTTATTTAACAGTCAGTAGTGTCTTAAAGTGAAGCAGTGCAGTTGTGTTGATAAAAGAAGCCACTGCCAGTCCTCAGGTGGTCTGGAGGCCTGGCCAGCCCTGTCGTAGTCACTATTGCCTTGGACCAGGGCTTTAGTTTCTCACCCCTGCTTCTGTAGGTACACTTGCTCTGTTCCCCCAGCTTGGTTTCTCTGTACAAGCATGCTACAGGTTAACAGCTAACTTCCACCCCAGGATAGCTACAGCCCCCATAGCTCACTGCCACCTCTCCTGCCTGCCCCCCTGAGACATACTCCTGACAGAATTAGGTCAAACTCTTTATTCTCAAGCCAACTATTCAGGTCACACTGCCTGTATAAAATTCAGCTGATCTTGAAACGAGGTCTGGCACAAGCCCTGCGTATAAGGCTCACTTTGACTAAAAATGAGGCTGACTTCAGTTTTAAAGTCCCAGTGAGTAGAAATGCCTTGCAAGGCTAGGTTACAAATCAAAGGCCTTGTCTTTGTGACTTGTGCAAGTTGTCACATGTGCCCGGTAGTGATGTACCTTGCTGTTGAAATCCCCAATTTTCAAGGGCTTTTTACAGATGTCCTTGGACTTACATTGAAAAAAGACCAAGGTAAGTCTCACACGATATTAATTGGGGGCACTTAATGGATTGAAAGGCCCTTATGGAGAGCCACTACTGGTAGAAGAAATGCTTCCCAGGACAGGGCCAATTTGGGTGAGAAAATAGGACCTCCAAGAGCACTGTTGTCCACTACTCAACCCCACCCTGTAGATGATACATTTGATGTGATAATGTGAGCTCCTGTTTACTTCTGGACACCGGCTTACAGCATTGCCACCCTTGCACTTTCCAGAGAGGACTAAGGCCATAGAGCACTCTTCCTATCACTCTCTGGGTTTGGGCATAAGGCCCAGGCCCATCCCATGCACTGTACTGGGCACTGCCATCTCAAGGCACAGCCACTAGCCTTGCTCGCTTTGCACTGTGGCACTATTCCCACATGAGCACTGTGGACATCTGGATGCTTCCATGCCACCTGTGTGTTCCTGGCAGAATCAGCACTTTCTGTAAGAACAACGTGTGGATTTCCTGGTGTCTGCAGACATGACTGCTGAAATAAAGCTAAGTGCAAAGCAGAATTTTCACCAAGACATTTATTATGCAAAATAATAAGGCTTGAGTAGCCAGTATAAATTAAAACCAAGCAGAGCAAAGGAGTTTTTCTGTTCAAGGCCATGTACACTTTCATTACATAGCAGGATTGCAGTATACTGACTGAGGTGTGTGCCATTGCCCACAGCTGTGCAGTCTTCTGAGTCCTTCAGTCTTCTGAGTCTGCTCACCATATGGAATAGCCAAGTATGAGGAGAATGGCAGGACTTGTTCCTTTCTCTTGCTCTGACCCCCAAGCCTATGCTTTGCCCATCCTCTGTAATGACATATCCTATATATTTATAAACATCATTTGTCCTCTAAGAAATGTGAGCTCTGTAAGATAAGGCCAGTTTGTCCTTGGAGTGCCTGGCACTCTTGGTGATGTAGAAAACAGACCCTTCTGACCCCTTCATAATGGTACCCTGTACCCAGACCTTCCCCCACTTCCTGCTTCCCTTCAGCCCCTTCTGTCAGGTGAAACTCATCCAGGCTCACTCCCACTGTCCCTCTGCCCAGTCCCTTTACACATGGCCCAATTACAAGCTACCTAGACACGGGAAGGTTGACATTAAAAAGCCAAATATACAGCCAGAGCAAAGCCATTCAAATAAAAACAGAACAATTCAGGTAGGGATTTATGCTAACATTTGGGGGTTCCCTTTACAGAATTGCAGGGAGAGGGGCCTGCCTAGTTACGAGTGAACCACAGGCCTGAGAACAGGGCCATTCATTCTGGGGTGAAAGCGGGACAACTCTCTTTTAAAGAGTCCAGGAGGGATAACATTCTGTATATGGAAGTTTTGAATTAGAGGCCAAATGTGACCATTTGAAGCATCCTGTCCATAAAAAGGAATGAACTGTGTTGTAAATACTTTGTCCTGTGTTCTTCACAATCTAGTTGTCAGCAGGTCAGGCTCTCAGTATGAAATCCCTTGGCTGTTAGCGAGGGGGCAAGGTCTGCATGTGGAGAGCATCATAGGTGTCCTTGGTGGCAGTGCTGAGCCCCTGGTAGAAGCAAATCACAGAAGCATGGTCAGGTACAAGCTGAGTATCTGCAGCTCATCCCATGACCCTCCCTCTCCCAGTCTCCAGATGCCCAGGAAAACTTCCTCATCATGGATGGGGAGCCTTGGCTGAGAACACTGCTGGATAGATGAGTCTTGTATCCTCCTGCAAATGGCCTTGAAACAATTCTTCAACTAAATTCTCACCCTTCTAACTTCCCAAGTGCCTGCCCTCCACACCTGGGCCCAGCTTCCTGTCAGCTCCAAAAAGGACAGTCCTCCACCTCCAGTGCTGAAATGGAGTCAGGGAAAATGGCCAGGCAGGCCTTCCCCAGAGAACCTACTCTCCCTCATAATCTGGGACCCCAGAAATCCTGGACTTGTCCCAGGGAGCGTGGTAGCTCCTTCACCTCAGCCCTTCTCCACAGGGGTCCTTCCTGGACCTGGCCTTTATAGTACATCCTTTGTCAATCAGGCCAGGCCCAGCCTCGCTAGCTGGAAGATCTCTCCCTGCCCAGCCACCAGCAGCCACCACCAGGCAAGTTTCTGAGGCCTTTTTAATATAACTATTCAGACAAGCCCAGCACCAGTAGGGCCAGAAGGAGATATGAACCCTCTGGGGATCCTATTTGAGAGAACTAGGTTAACTACACTTAGTTTCCATAATCATTTGCACTAATTTGCATAGCAAGCGCCTGATTACAATAACATTTTTCTTTTGAAGCTGTTATTTTTCTTCTTTGTCTTCAATCTTCTTGCCCACCCTTCCAGATCTTATTAAGTCTAGAGGATTCAAAGCAGAGCAAGACTTGTCAGAGCTTAGCTCAATGGACAAAGGCAAGAAATCACTAGTGTAGGGTCCTTTGCACGCTGTTTCTACATCTTTGAGAGGGCCATACCCTCTGGAGAGCTATGGCTATGTCTGCTGTGGCCAAATAATGCATGGGGCTCTCACTCCTGGTTGGAGCATAGTATCTGCCTGAATGGATAGTCCCATCCCTGCTCTAGAAATGTACTGTAACATTTAAGGTGGCTCAGTGGTAGAGTGCTTACCTTGTATGCATGAGTCCCTGGGTTCCATTCCTCAGCACCACATAAGCAGAAAAAGCTGGAAGTGGTGCTGTAGCTTAAATGGTAGAGCACTAGCCTTAAGCTGAAGAGTTGAGGGACAGTGCCCCAGGCCCAGAATTCAGGCTCCATGACAACAACAACAACAACAACAAAAATTTAAAAAAATA